ACCACCCGTGACACAAACTCCCATTTCAGGCTTGGTCAGGATTGTGTGGGATTAGCGGAGTGTGATGGACTGAAGCTCTGGGAAAGACATTTTTTATAGATATGTATGTGTGTGTGTGTGTGTGTGTGTGTGTGTGTGTGTGTGTGTGTGTCTACAATACTCTGCACACAGTGAACTTTCAGGCAGCACAAAAGGACTTTATAGCCAGTGAAACATAAAACAAAAAGTCAACTTTTAGTCAAGAACTCAACACCAACAGACGGAGTTAGATAAGATGGACAGTTTAAATTATTACATTGAGGTTATCTTTCTTTGTATTGTTTTGGGAATTTGGACATTTAACCAATCCGAGAAGCAGTTTGTGTTTCATGATAACAGACAAATTACACATTTTACAGATTTTTAAAGCTGACATTCTTTAGAGACAATATCTTTAGATTAAACCGTTTTTAGGCACATTAATTCAATTAAAGGGATGCAGCATTCTCCTCAAAAAGTTATATCTGCCAGTGTGGAGCACACTTTGAAGAGTAGGGAGACAAAATATATGGAAACTATAACTTTCGAATGAACAAAATAAAATACTGTTTGGCATCTAGTCACACGTTTCTTAGGCAGGTATGGTGGCGCAGGGATAATTTTGATTAATAACTTCAAACATATGAGGTGCTTGGATCTTCTTCTCTAGATCTATGCTATCTCAATGAGTTTCAACCACAGCTCTTTTGCATTTGAAATGTTGGGAAAGTGAAGTTTATCTGATACTTCAACACTTAAATATCTCCACGCTGTGTCTAGACTTGAGTTAAGAATTCAAGACAACCTTAAATCAAAGCATGCTACTAGTGTTATTTAATTTTTTTGCCCTTTCTATATTTCAGTTTTTCTTGGCACACAACATTTTCATAAAACACACTTCCCCTAACTGTTTAGAGAGGTAATTCAGCACCATTTCTGCTTGAATTCAGTGCTGAAGCAACCTGATCTCATTGAAATGTTTCTGCGGGCAGCAGTGGTTTGGTTTGTATGCTGCTCTCCCAGTATATGATGTGGAAGACACGCAGCTTAAAGTCTTAGAGTGCTGTGAGTTGTTTGTCTGTTTAGAAACCATTTCCAATCAGCATCACTGAAGGAGAGACCACAGAACATGAGAGGTTTCAACCACAGCAACATGCAGGCACTAACTGATGACATGCTAAGCATGCTAGGCTGCACTGACATGGTGACACAGTGAAGTGACGGCGGGTGTCACTGACAGATGATGACACGTCAAAGAGGTTGCAGCCACGGATGAATTCATCAGGGATTGACAGCCAGCTACCTCCCCTTCCTAATGACAAAGCTAGATGAGTGATAACGCAGGGGCAGACAGTGATATCATCACTACTAGGTCCAAAAGAAGCAGTCTTTTTTATTATCAGTTAATTAAAAGCATATGAAGTGAACAATAGCACTTCTTTTTCTCCCTTTGACCTTTGACAAGGTTTTTTTTCTCTTTATCAGTTGTTTTCCTCACTTCTTAATACTCCTTCTAGTCCATCCATGCATCCTCTCATGCTTTTACACAACATCAATCTGTGCTATTTACTCCACTGCAGGAGGTATGTTGTGATGAAGTGACTCACTTTCCCTCAAGCTGCATCCTTGACTTCAGTTAATTATTTCCTACATTTCCCCAAATCCCTTTTGACAACAACAGCCCTTGCACAACGAGTGTTAACGTGTTACACACTTGTTTCACTCCACTGTGGCTTACGTATGCAGGTGGTGAGAGTGAGAAAGCGAGAGAGCAAGACTTGACAGTGTGCAAAGCAGTGTGTCCTGGTCTACAGCCTTCTTGATGTGAGACTAACACCAAACCCTTTCTGAATCTGTCACCTTCATGTTTTTGCTGTGTAACTGGAGAAATGTGTGTTCCTCAAAGACACACAGAAAGAAAGAGCGAGTAAAGAAGGGAAGAAGAGACAGACAACAACACCTTTTCTACTCATCTGCTGACACATTCTTTCCTTTAGTTGAGCTGTTGGATTGAAGAGCAGTGTCCTTGCATCAGTCTATAATGTCCACTGGAGGGCAGACAGGGACAACAGCTCTGATACCCTTACAGAGGTGGACACAAAGAGAGCAACCCTGATACTAATGTCTGACTTGCAGGTTTTACACAAAATACCATCACCACTGTGACAAAATATATTCTTTGAAAGGATAAATCCTCACTTTGGACATGTTTTACATTACACATCTGTTGTCAGTTTGACTCACTTTATATACAAATACATTCATGTAGCAGTAGATGGCTTGTAATAAGTTTATTTTTAATATCTTCTTCATAAATCTAACTGTTCATCTTGCTTTTAGTTAGGATTATCTACTGTGTGGCCTCCTTCTCTTCTTATAACATCAGGAGTGATGCATTTGACAACAACAGATTGTACACCTATGAATTATAACTGCACATGTATGTATGTATTAATTCAGGGTTTATGTAATGCCCAGAATCTTTCATTTTCACAGGCTGTCTTAAACACAGTGTGAGGTAATTGCAATGTTCAGGGACAGTGGCATTTTACTTCCTGGTTCATGGGCAGTGTGTAAACAGAATGCAACAGGTTTATTCCTTACAACCAATTTTTGTCTTCTCTCTTATGATATTCAGTCAGTCTCTTTAAACCTGTTGTTCCCCTTGAGCCACGGACTGATACAGGGTCAAGGAACATTTGCTGCTGAACCCCAAGAAAGCAGAATAATAATTATATAATGCTATAGACTTTTTTTGCAGTAAATGCCTTGAATTTGCTGCATTTTTCCTCATTACTCCCTGTCGTATCTCCAACTATACGTATTACTGTATGCTGATTAACTGAAACAGTTCATCAGTACCATAGAGCTAAGATACATCCAGTCTGCAGCGACATTTTCAATATAAAAATGGTCCGTGTTGTGAACTTCGGCATTAAAGGGCTGAAAATATAATTCTTCAGATGCATTTTTTGAAAATCTGTCTTTGCAACCAACAACAAAGCTCAAATGTGTACATTAAACATTTGAAGCAGTGGGAAGAAAGGGCCAATTTTAAGAAAGCCAGTGCTGCTGTCACGAGTTGTAACTCTCATTAAACACTCCGACAGGCCACAAAGTACGACTGTGAAGTACATCAGGCTGTGGCACCAAAAAGATCTTATTCTAACATTTAGCTTCTTGCTTTTTTTGTATCAACACATCAGGGTCGATAGAGAAATGAAAGAAACAGAGTAGAAGACAGAGCGAGTGAGAGAGATGCTGAGAGGGTGGGGGTTGTCTGTTCTAGTGTGGTTTTGGGGAGTTATTTGGTGTTAAAATATGCCTTAATGGTTGCTGGGGATCCATTTATTACAGGCAGGAAGCAGAAGGGGGTTTCTCTTCTCATTTAATGTGACCGCCGAGAAGGTCGCCAAGTCCTACAGGCAAGCCAGCATTCCTCTGCGCCAATGCAACACATGCACGCACTCACACAACTATGAATATGAGCATAATTATACTGTAAGGCATGTAAATGAAGCCTATGTATGCACGTGTGTAAATGCAAAGACACACGCTCAAAAACACACACACACACACACACACACACACACACACACACACACACACGTCGCAGTGCCTTCAGAAACAGCTTGCAAATATGTGTATATGCATAAAAGCACACACACAAATAGATTGTGGTCTCTGGCAGTGAGAATGACCTTTTCTGAACCATGGAAACACACGCATTAACACACACACACACACACAAACACACACACACACACACACACACACACACACACACACACACACACACACACACACACACACACACAGAAAAGCCTCTGCAAAACATTTAAGCATGGCAATGCCGAGGTTATATAAAAAGCCTCTTGAGGTCTTATTAATTCACATTTGTTTTTCAGTTGTGAAGCTCGGTTTCTCTCCTTCTCACTCATCCCGTCTCACTCTGTAGTTGTTAGTTTTTCACACACTTCCTGTCCCTCATCCGTCTCTTTGTCGGGCATGGATGCCGCACACCACTTCTTCTCTGTCACACTTACTTTCTTACTTACTTTCTTCCTTCCTTCCTTCCTTCCTTCCTTCCTTCCTTCCTTCCTTCCTTCTTTCTTTCCTTACTCTGTAACTGTCCAATGCAGAGCCAGATACAGCTTGACACCCTTCCCTTGCATTAGAGAGGGTGTGTTAACACCTCCTCCCACACACACCAGGGCCTTAAGACCCGTTTATGAAGTGTAGGGCTCCTGGTGTAAAAGTGTGTGTACGCGCACACACACACACACACACACACACACACACACACACACACACACACACACACACACACACACACACACACACACACACACACACACACAAGAAGAAGAAGATAGAGATTAAGATGTGAGATTTGATGTGTGTAGGAAAATTTGTGATTGAAGGGGTTTGTTTTTAATGTTTTTGCAGCATTTTTGATTCTACTGATGTGAAACCACTAATGTTGGACTGCTTTTATGTTTTGTGGTTCATTTTGAGAATATTCTTGGAAAACTGTTACAGTGTAGTGTACAGTATGGGTGTTTTTTTTTTATATATATGTGTGTTTTCATTATGGCTTAGACAGTTTTGATCTGAGTGGGTTAATGTTGCTGATTGCATCTCATAAAAAGTTCTTAAAATGTTGGCATGGTCACCTAAAGGCAGAGAAGTGGTCGACAAAGTGTTTTGATTGTGATTACACCGACTTTAACGGCTCCTGAGCGCGCACAAAAGGGAGGAAAACTGTCATGGCTGCTGCAACTGTGTGTGTGCTTTGAATGCCAAATCAAATTATACAGTATCAACATGTTTAAAACAAAATAAGGTAACTCTAGAAACTTCACTTGGCTACTACAGTCGCTCAGTTAAAGGTTGTGTAAGGTTGTGTGTGTGTGTGTGTGTGTGTGTGTGTGTGTGTGTGTGTGTGCGTGCGTTTGAGAGTGTGTGAGTGTATTGGGTTACATGGCGGATATAAGGCTCTATCCCTCCTTTCATCAGCTGAGTGAGGAAGAATCGAGCAGCAACACACTGCAATCTGACCCTGACCTGCACACACACACACACACACACACACACGCACACACACTTTAATACACACAGTAGCAGAAAAGCAGACATAGTTCAGTGCTGACCATCACTCATCAGCACAAAACCTCACTGCTGTTTTCCACTGATCACCACTGTCATAACACATGCCTCTGTGGCTCTGATCCCTCTTTCCAGTATTATATCATATCATCAATATCACTTGAAAATCTTATAACTCCAGTTTGGTTTTTACTTGAAATTATGGGTGTTAGCATGTAAACTCAACATTCAAATAAAATCATGGAAGCCATAATAGGCTTTGAAGAAGACTTCATGGTAATGAGCCAGCCAGCCGAGGGGGGTTGTTAATAAAGACACTGAGTCCCCGCCAGCTGCAGGGTGCTGATCTGTTGTTGACCATGACCTCTGACCCTTCCAGGCCAAACAAGAGATAGTTACCTTGCAGAGGTCAGTAATGAATACAGTAGGTCAGTAATAGTTGTACAGGTAGTATTAGGGAAAGCTTTATAAACTTGATTGCTCCCTGATTTGATTTATTTTTATTGCTAAGAGTTAGATGAGAAGATTGATACTGCTGTCACATCGGTACAGTAAGTTACAACGAGCAGATGTTACCTTAAACATGAAGACGGGAAACAGCTAGACTAGTCGACTGTCCAAATGTAACAAAATCTGTCTACCAGCACCCCTAAAGCTCCTTAATTAACACACCATATCACGTTCCGTATGCGTGTAAAAACACAAGTTGTGGTTTTAAGTGGATTTTGTTACTTTTGCACAGAGAGTGCCCCCCTCCCATTTCCAGTCTTTGTGCTAAGCTAAGCTAACAGCTGCTGGCTGTGGCTTCATATTTACCATACACATTTGTCATGAGAGTGGTATCAAATCCCATCCAACTCTTGACAAGAAAGCAAATATGGCTATTTCATCAAAACGTGCCTTCCTACAACATACATGCTTAATTATAGTTTAAATAAATTAAACTGTTTGGTCTGACGTGAATAAAAAAGCCAACATTTTTAGGCTTTCAAAGTCTTCAGGTGGTGTGCACTTATCCCTGTCCACTGTCCTTCTTTTACCAGTCCACATCAGTGTGTCATACCAACCCTGATCTACGCTCCAAATGAAGAAAATGAACTGTGTGTGTCCATGAGAAAATGAAATGGACAGAATTAGAAAATAAGATTCCAAAGGGAAGTAAAGTAAGAGAGTTTGAATGGTTACTGTGTAACTGTGAGTGTGTGTACCTTAGTGTGTGCAAAGGGGGGGTAATTACGGTGTAGAATGTCCTCCTCATCACTGGAGCTGACCTAAGAGCACAACAGTTAATCATCCACTAACCGGCAGAGAGAGACAGAGTGAGAGAAGGAGAGGGAAGCCAGTGTTGCATGATGCACAGTTGAATTGGAAGAGAAACACTTTGAGGCACCTGTGTTTGATAAAAGGTAGAAGGAAAGAGGAGTCTTTTATCAGTCTGGAATAAAGGATATACTCACCTGAGAGCTTTGGAAGGATAACAAATCTGCAGCCGAGGACACGCACCTGCTCCTAAAGAGGGATTTTTAGCAGCATTCTCCCTTCTTTCAATCAACCAGTGTGTGTTTGTTTGTGTATATCAGTAAGTTAGTATGTGTGTTCTGTGTGGACTGTCCTGTTTTTGGATTTAACTGTGTGTATGTGAGAGGTGGCCACATGGGGCCCGGGCCCTGTCTGGGATGCCAGCTGCAGCAGTGAAGCCCGCTCCGGAGGACATGGTGGCGGAGGGAGGGGGCGAAGGAGAGCATGGCGTGTCCCAGTGGGAAGCCACGGGGGTGGGCCGGGAACGGCTGCCCTCCCTGAAGGTCCCCAGGGAGCTGCTGCGGAGCTTCCCCCACTCCAAACGGGTGGGATCCTACCTGGTGGGGAAAATGATAAACAAGGGTTCCTTTGCCAAAGTGATGGAGGGGCTGCACATCGGCACGGGGGAAAAGGTCGGTGATTTGACTGCAGGGGTGGCACACTGGCAAAGAAAAAGATCACACACACAAGATTATGATTACACGTTTACAACTTGTGCCTTGGGGACTTGTAACTGATAATTATACCCACTTAGTTTTGAAGAAGGCAGTGACCTGTTATTATTCTTGTTATGTGTACAAAAACTCAGTCAGACCCATCTGTAATTAGTTTATTTCATAACTATGACTCTTGAAGGGATTTTACAGGAACAAGTGTTTCTGCTCACTATATGTGGAATTCTATTTTTAAAAAAGCTCATTCATGCGGCACAAGTGCACAAATGCAAATGCCACATAAACATTATTACGAAGGTATGCTGATGCATGACTTATGTTCAGATTTATATATTTATTGACATATATTTTGCAAATTAAAGAAGTACATGTTCAGACAAAATATATATAGCGTTGTCCTGATCATCTCCTCATGACGATTATTCTTATTATTCCAAATAGGCTAAAAGGCAACCATGCTAATGTTTTTAAGTATTTTATATTTTGTATGAATTTTCATTGTTCAGTAGAGACAATTGTGTGTGTGTGTGTGTGTGTGTGTGTGTGTGTGGGTGTGTGGGTGTGTGTGTGTGTGTGTGTGTGTGTGTGTGTGTCTGTGTGTGTGTGTGTGTAACTTTCTGACCCCGGCTCATATGTAACTGACCTGGTTGCCATAGTAATGACCAAACTCATCTCCGGGGGTCTACAGGTACAAGACATGTGGAGGTTAAGTCTACAAATATTTAAACACACACTGTGGTAGACTTTAGGATCTTCCTAAAATGTGTTTTTAATTTTAAACTAAATGACATAAAACCATATATTCATTACGTACTTTTTACACACAGTAATAATGGAATACAAAGTGGAAATAAACAGAGCCCTCCAGAGCTTTCCAACAATTTACTGTCATGTCAATGTCAGTGTTTATTAGTTAACAACAGTCATCTAAACAAGCTGTATCATTTTCAGTATCACTGTTTAATAATTTTATTTTCTGTGCAGTCCAAGTGCTTTTCCCCATCATTGTCATCGGGAAGGAAAATCAGTTGTAAGAACACAAATATTTGCTAAAGTTATCCCCCACAGACTCCCTGTACTGAGTGCAATAAGTGTAATCACACATGAACAAGTAGTGTGTGTGTGTGTGTGTGTGTGTGTGTGTGTGTGTGTGTGTGTGTGTGTTTGTGTGTGTGTGTGTGTGTGTGTGTGTGTGTGTGTGTGTTTAGGTAGCCATTAAGGTGATTGACAAGAAGAAAGCGCGACAGGACTCATACGTGCTGAAGAACATGAAGAGAGAACCTCGAATTCATCAGATGGTCCGACATCCTCATATCGTCGTCCTGCTGGAGGTAGAAAAATAAATCAATAAACAACACAACAAACCATCAGAAATGCATATAGGCCTACAGTCCAAATAATGAAATGATGGAGTCTTACAACAGTACGCCTGCTCAGAATTGAGCCCATTAACAGTGACATTATTGTAGACAGCGGCCTAATTAAAAAGTCACAGTATATAAGCTTGTCCAATGACATAATATGCACATGACTAACTTTGTGCGTCAGACTCTGGAGACGGAGAACAGCTACTACATGGCCATGGAGCTCTGTGCTGGAGGAGACCTGATGGACAGGATCTGTGAGAGGAAGAGGCTGGAGGAGAGGGAGGTACGACGCTACACTCGTCAGATCCTTTCTGCAGTGGAACACCTGCACAAACACGGCATCGTACACAGGTGAGACTGCACACACACACACACACACACACACACACACACACACACACACACACACACACACACACACACACACACACACACACACTGCGCAGTACTTCTGTATGCATTAGAGACATCTGCCTCATACTGAGTCTCAGGAGTCTTCTTACTCTGCTGAGTTTCTTTATTTAGTCGCCTTTGTGACTGATACACTGTCAGTTGAGTCCACACTTTACTTTTTTGCTCTTGATCTGAGACCTTATAACACAACTGGAAATTACACTATAATACACACTCAGTTAAAACGTCAAATGGGACTTTTAAAATGCCAATTATTTATGAATAATTTGAGAGTAGTAAAAATAAAAAGGTTAGCTGATAATGAAAAGTCTCCTGTTGTGGAAAAAAGTGAAACAAAAGTCTACAGAAACTTATATCTGTCTCCACCTGTAGTTTTGTGAAATATGCTATTCACGATTGTTTCAGGGACTCTCTGCTGGTTGCCTGGCAACCTCACAATGATGACAAAACTCCAGGAAGTTGCTCCGCCTGTCCAAGAAATAATTCGACATATAAAAGCCTGTAAAGCCACAAATTTACATTTTTACACCTTTTGTATGGATTAAACTAACAAGATATAACCTGTCAATTAGTGCGCTTTAGAGGTGCTGACAGCATCTAGGCTAAATATAACAGTTCTTGCAACATAATTTAAATGACTGTATTTAAATGTGGGACAGGTCCTTATGTGTTGAAACAATGGTAAACTAGAAAAAAAAACATCACTTCCAAACAATTTAACACATTTTTAACCTATGAATGGACATCTTTTGACATGCAAATGACCAAAACCATGCTTACTAGGCTACTGTAACAGTCAGCCAATCAGGAGCATGTGATTTAGAACGTTATTCTTACCTCGAGCTAATTGGCCCAATTAGAGATTTTGCAAAACAATTAAGTGAAAAATTAGGAAAGGCGCCCAAATGTTAGTCTCTAAATGTCACTGTCCAGTTTTGAGAGAGCGACAAACAGACCTGCACACAGTAGCTGTTTGTCAGTGGATGTTAAGGTCAGAGTTTGTAGATTCACACACACATGCACACACACAGACACACACACACAGAGTAGTTTGCAGGGCATTAACAGCTTACAGAGGAGGAAACGCTGCAAGAAAGGCAATATATGGCACAGTGCAGTGTGGGAGTTGAGAGTGTTATTTTAGTGGCATTTTAGTATGTGTAGGTGTTAGAGACCCAATACCCAATATACACACACACACACACACACACACACACACACACACACACACACACACACACACACACACACACACACATACACTAAAACCACACGCAATATGCACAGTGCTGGGCTTTGGTTTAAGACCTTGGCTCCTCTGAAGGTGGGAATGTGATTACCAGGCAATGACCTCATCATCCTGCGCCGGCGCCATGATTCACACATCATCACAACATCATGGACTTCCTCTCTAATGAAGTCCCTCAACGACGTTGCTCTCAAGCCTTCAATAGCACCTCTCCCTGTCACACACATACGCCCTCGTCCTCACACACATGCATACGCTCACACACTCTCCACCACAGTCCCACACAGAGATGATTAAACTGGAAATAAATGGAAAATTTGCACTTAAATGCACCTCATGCCACCCACATCCAGTAGGTTTACCGCATACATTTTCTCCTTTATGACAATGTCTGCTCTCGCTCTCTCTTGCTCTTTTTCCCTCTTTCTTCCCTCCATCTGTCTTTGAACTTTTCTTGGGTTGTGTGAGCAGTGTTCTCTGGATTTTTGGGACCCGGAGTGTCTGTTGGTTAGATGAAGGCAGATGAAAGGAACATGGCTGATTCCCAGGCTATAGTTTATAGGGGATCTCTCTCTCCTAACCGCAGATTTTCATTTAGGTCGGTAGTTTTAGAGCAGGGCCGTGTGGTTGGTGGTGAGGCTGGGGTACTTTCAGGGGAGTCAGGCAACTTTTCCAGGTGAACACAGAGATACTACTTTGGTGGAGAAGAGTGTAGAAGAGCTTCACTTCACTCTGACAGTGTCCGTTTGATGTGAAAATCATGACGGGTGCAGGTTTTCAAAGGAGTTCAAAACTAAAAAATCTCCCTAATTACTCCCAAACTAAATGTTCATCCAGAAATATTGCAAATAAAACTATTTTTCACCAGTGTTTTTAAAGCTTGAGCTCTTACCAAACCAAAATTTAGCTTTGGTTTTCCTTTACTTCTGTGGGTCCAGTCTGGTCCCATCTCATCTGGTTGTCCATAAATACACACAAAAAGCTTAGTAAGGCCAAACTCATATTGCAAGAGATCTAAAATTGACAAACCAGCATAGTGTCTGTCAAGTAAATTGCTCTTCTGCAAGGAAAAAAATCACTTTAGAAATTCCTGTAGGATTAAAGACAGAGCTCATGAAAATACTACAACGTACCACATTGTTCCTTTATGTAACAGGTCTCTCTCTTTTCTTTTCTTTTGTAGAGATTTAAAGATTGAAAACTTCCTGCTGGACGAACATAATAACATAAAGATTGTGGGTATGTTGACATTCCTGATTTTTCCAGTGACATCTGACTGGCAGCTTACCGATGCAAAATGGTGGACAGATCAGTATGACAGAACCTGTCTTAGCGATCTAGTCCATCTGCACATGTGTGCACACTGTTAAAATGATGATGTTTCACACAGACTTTGGCCTGAGTAACATTCTGAAGGCTGAATCTTTGTCTCTGGAGCTCCTCAACACCCAGTGTGGAAGTCCTGCCTACGCAGCACCTGAGCTGCTCGCTCACAGGAAGTATGGACCCAAAGTGGACGTCTGGTCGGTGTAAGTGTCCGTCAACGAGGCCTGAAAGGTTTGCATTTGTATGCATCTTGTAAATGTGTTAATGCCTCTTCATGTTTTGCTTGTTTGTATGTGCGTGCAGAGGTGTGAGTATGTTTGCCATGCTGACAGGGACTCTGCCCTTCACTGTTGAGCCTTTCAACATCAAACACCTGCACCAAAAGATGGTCAACGGAGAGATCAGCAGCATCCCCAGTGACGTCAGCAAAGGTAACTCCACGTTTCACCCGTGTCTCTAAGTGGCTTCTTTGGTGAAAAAATAACTGCGTTGACATTTTTTTTGGCACAAATTTACAGTTCAACAGTAAATTTGCTTCGGCAATATGTCGTTTGTGCTCTTAGTGTACAGTCCCTGACAAAAGTCTTGTCGCTTGGGTACCAGTTGACCTTAAGTGCCCCTCAAATATATGTCTAATCAATTTTTTTTACAAGAAATGGCTAATTTCAATCCCAACAGCTTTTGAAATAATGTTTTGGTGCCAAACGAAACTGCTGAAAAGCATTCTAACGTTCACAGCTTGGTAAAGCCCACTGAGTCAATTTTTGCAAAGACAAAAGTCTTGTCGCCTTGTCATATGATGCACCCAATCCTAGATTACAGCCTCACCTGTGATCAATAATTGATCAATCAATTAGTGGGTGTGTATAAAAAGAACCCCAGCACACCAGACCTTCACATCAACTGCAACTTGACCTCTGACAACATGCCTAAGATTCACCCTGAGACCAAAGCGTTGATTATCAAGAGGCTGAAGACCAGTTCCACTGCTGAGGTGGCTGACAGTTTGTAGAAGAAGAAATTTCTCAGCAGGATGGTGCTCCATCGCATACTTCCATCTCTACATCAAAGTTACTCAAGGCGAAGAAGATCAAGGTGCTCTAGGACTGGCCAGCCCAGTCACCAGACATGAACATCATTGAGCATGTCTGGGGTAGAATGAAACCAAAGAATCTTGATGAACTCTGGGAGGCATGTAAGACTGCTTTCTTTGCTATTCCTGATGACTTCATCAATAAATTGTATGAATCATTGTCGAACCGCATGGATGCAGTCCTTCAAGCTCATGGAAGTCATACAAGAATTTAAATATGGATCTCACAGCACCACTACTTAATTCACTGATGTTATGCAATATATTTTTGTATTTGAAGTAAATTATTTGTTCAATTTTCACATTACTCTCTGTAGGCGACAAAACTTTTGTCTTGCCAAAATCTGACCTTTCTGTGTTCATTAAATGATCAATCTTTCTTCAGTGAAGCAAATTTATTTTAGTATATTAAACATAATTTGGGAGGGTTTTAGCTTTCATATGAGCCACTTCTAAAACCAATGGATTAATTAAAAGTCAGGTTATAAGCTGTTGTTTCTTCAAAATGGATAAGTGACAAGACTTTTGTCAGGGACTGTAGATGGAAAATAAGAGAATAAAGAGAATAAAGGCATGACATGAAACAAAATAAAACCACAGATAAGTACAGATAAGTAACGAGAAATTAGAGCGAATGTGACAGAGAATTGAAGGAAAAATGTTTAACTTCTTTCATATTTCTTCCACTTGTTTTGTATGAAGCACACAGCAGCTTTACTGTCTCCGTTTCTCTCTTCTTTATTTTGGTCTCTCTCACACACACAGTCGCTCCATTACACTCTGTCATGGCGCCATGTCACCACAAACAAACATAGCTCCTGTTACTGTGGGTAAAACCAGAACAGCTCTGATGCTCTGAAACTGTGACAAGATCAGATTAGTGGCTGTATCGCTGCCACCGGCGGGCATCTGAGACATCCACATTAACTTTCAGGCTTCATTCTGCTGCTGAATAGGGTTGTTTTTTGAAAACTCTGCTTCAATTTTAGCAATCCCACTTTATATTTCATGTGCCGCAGTAATTCTTGTCAGAATAGCCAATTTTTTGTCTTTCTTTTGTTTGTTTTGCCATGGTTTTAGTGATGTTGTGTTTTTGTTTCAGTTAATTTGAACCTCACAAATGATTCTTCTCGTCCTTGTAGGATTTTTAATGTTATCCTCAGCACTGTTTTTTAGATTTTTGAACATTACAAAAGGAAATGAGTGTCTCCAGAGACTATCTACAGGGTTCTAGATTAAATTCAACAAATGGTGCATTTGATTCTATCAGTTACAAACTGACCTTGACTGAGACAAGCTGCTTTGGCTCTGCCATTGAAAGTGAGGCAACTGATAGTAGCAAACTAAGTAGAGCAGTGTTGGCTTATATCTCTGTGAAAGCTGCAGCCATCCTGTTCGTATCCATCTGCTCCTCTAGACCGTAGTGCTTATCAGGAATCCACATCTGGAGTCAAACTATCCACCCTACTTGGCTGTCACAGGGCAGCTCCGTGTCACAGGCTGACAGGCTGAATTGGTTGTCCTTAAGGGAGATCCAGCCTTAACTCCATGCTGTCGTCTCTGATACGGTTTCAGCTAAGTCACAAGTGATTGACATCAGTCCGGCAGTCTGGAGTATTTGTGCCACATCGGCTCTTTTAGTTCAGAACAAAACTTAGTTTGGTGGTCTGATCTTAAATTCAAGATCCACACAAAACACTGACCCATAACATGTTCTGGATAATGCAAGCCAGAGCCTTGCATGGCCATCAGTGTGTCGGTGAAAATGAGGCATTATGAAGCACTTTATTATGAGTACAGACCATTTACCTGTACAAATGTCCAAGCACATTTGAGTTTACTTCTTAAATACAGATGGTTGTTGACCATCAGTTGCTGAGCGTAGGATACCAACTGTTACTGTGTGGTCTTGCCTGATATTCATGTAGGACACCCAAGATGAACGCTGACCAACTATGCACAGATGAAGCTTTTTACGAAAGGGTTACTGATGACTGATTTAAACCTGCAATAACTGATAGCTGCTTGGGGGTATCAGAAGTAAGCTGTGAACACAACACTGACATATTGTCACCTTTTAAGTTAATGTGGCTTTTAAGTTAACTTCCAGCTGATGCAGGGAAACATTCATTTGGAGTCATGTTTCTTGCCACCTGGCAAATGTAAGTCACTCTCTTTTTCGCCCCGTTCCGGTCTCCACCAGCTCCTGAGGGAAATATTTGGCTCTTTACTTGCTAAATGATTCACAGTGTTCACTGGCAAGTTGTTAAGTTTGTTTGTTTGGTTCTCGGCATGTAAGCATACAGTGTTTTTTTGTTTTTTTTTCCAGAAAAGAATGACACTATGAGAACAGTGAGAGTGAACTAAAAGAGTAAAGGCCTGAAAACCAAAACAATTGGCTGAAAGATGGTAAAACTCTCTGTAGAGCTGAGGGGAGCTACAGTATTGGTTGATTATTTGTTGGGGGTCTGTCCCTATGAACAATTACAGAATTGTTTATTTTTTTAACTGCGCTACTACACTGTCTGTCTACACCAAACCAAATGCAGAATTTAAGATTATGCAAATTAGTTAAACAAATGTTACGGGGCTCCTGCTTCAGGTGCGGTGGCGTTTGTGTTGTCTCTCCTGGAGCCGGACCCAGATAAGAGACCCAGTATCAGAGCTGCGATGGAGGAGAGGTGGATCAATGAGGGATATGCCAAGAAACCACTACACACACTCTCTCATAAAAACAGGTAGAAATCTATTGTTTGACTACACTTTGACACATTGTCTATAGATTTTCCTTGTATTAAGATGTAATAAATTGACATACTTCATTCATTTATTTAATTTATTTATTCAGCAGAATTCAGCAATTTTATATAGGCTACTGTAAATACAGTCTCTATCATGTATTTTCTAATTACATCCCAACATAGGAAATATATGTATGTATACATTGCACTACATTAGTAAATGGATTATGTATGTTTGTACCATGAGAGCAAAGTGAGACACAGTGACTGTTCTCAGAGAAAGTTCTGCGGTAAACATTACAATGTGGGCAAAAGAACCAAGAAGGAAATCACTGCAAGTTTTTTGACAAAATGAAAATGTTTGTGGTCAGTAGGCTAACAACTTTGTATATTATAGCATGACTAAAAGGCTTTTATCACTTTATGCTGTGTGGAAATGCAATCATGTATGGCTCCTCCTGGCAACAATGCATTTTCTGAAATCCACATGAATGAAGCAAGAACCGTTCCAGCTCTGTTCTTCTCACAGTTGAAAATCGACAAACCAAAAATCCTTGATTTACTGGTCATTCCTTACCAAAAAATCCTTAATGATCCCGGAAATGTCTCTCTGCTTCACTCTTCACACTTTATCTTTGGAACTGTTTTCCCCCTCTCTCTTGTTATTTTGCAGGTTGTGTCCAGAGGATCTCAACTCGTCTGTGCTAGCATACATGACTGAGACGCTGGGCTACTCTCTCTCTGAAATCATTCACACACTCACCACCAACCGACCCTCTGCCATCATGGCCTCCTACCACCTGCTGCACAACAAGCTCAGCAGGAACCAGAAAGGAGCCAAGGCCAGCAAGGTTCGCACCTTATGCACACACACAGGGCCTGCACCTACTGAAATACTAGTAAACACAGCTTTTCTGATGCCAGTAACACACACATGTGGAACTGTGTAATGGTACCTTTAAAAATGACTAAATACAACCATTCTCATGTTCTGCTGTAAGGTTTTAACAGCTGAAATTAATTGATTTGGCAGAAGCTAGAGAGCAATGACTGGAGTCTTCCAAGCAAGAATACATGGCGAGAGAGGAATAACACTGACTCAAAGACTCAGCAACAGGTAATTTTTTAAGTATTCTATAAAAGCAAATAAAGGTGTTATTCTATATAGTTTTTGGTCAACAAATCCAATAATAGACCACAAATATATATTCATTTCCTGAAACAACTGGGCACTGTAGTTTTTCACCAATGTTAATGCTGCATTTGTTGGGTACTGTTTTCAGCTGTGGATTAAAACACAAATTACTGGCAATACAGATACTCAGATATGGATATTTCCAGAGAAGTATAGTGTTTTCATATATAATTACAATGTCCTCATTATGGGAGAATAGTATGTTTATATATATATATTTTTTAAATGTTGCTGTGCAGGTTGACTATATGGATGGAATAAAATTACAGATCCATTGGAGATTAAACTTAATGTCAATCTTAATGTTGATACGGCACACTGATTGACAAGAAAATTTAAAAATGGCACTTCCCAAAAGGGTTGCAGATCCCTAGTCTATAGTCTTAGTATAGACTTAGTATAGTTAGTACTTATAGTACTTTACTTACGTGCACTCAACCAGATGCTGCAGCCTTGTTTGCTTGTGAAAATAATCCAACCAAGTGTGTATAAGAAGAGGAGGTGTTGTGGCTATATTAGAGAGTTAGGCAACTTACTATTTGAGGTGATATGAGATGACAACTGTCTTTTTACCCCTTTGTGCAAGCAGGAAACTTTCTTGGCACTCCTGACAAGTAATCACTGCTTGTTTTTTAGAATGAACCGACCAATGAAAAAAGCTCAAAGCAGTCCGGCAGGCCTCTAAGAGCCCAACAGACAACTGAGTGTCAGAACAACAGGAAGAGGCCCGAGGACCTGCACAGGAAGGACCACCGAGAGGACGCAGAGAACCGCTCCCCCTCTCCATCTCTACCCCAGCTTCCTCACTCTGCCTCCCCCTCCATACCCCCTCGCCTTCCCTCCCCCTCTCCTGCCCGTTTGTCTGCAGAGGATGGAGCCACTGATGAGGAGATCGCCATCACCTTGGACACCAGAGAGATGCTGTTCCCTGAAGGTAAGGATTTATAGCACACGCACACATCCACAGTACAGTGTGTGGCATACCATCCTGCATCTGTATGTTTTGTGTGTTCCAGTGTCTGCGTTCGGAGACAGAGAGCTCGTCCATCTTTCTCCTCCGAAAAGCTCTGCATCTCAACTCTGTGACTCTGCCCCTTGCCAAGTCCCCTTACCTACTGAGCCAATCAGAGACAGCAGCACGTCTAGACCGATCCGTCACACACACCTGCTCAGGACAACTCAATCAGACGGGGCAGCAGACGCTGGGTCAGACTGCTTCCATGACAACCACCACCAGGAGGACTACTCTCATCACCTGAGCATCAACGAGCGTCTGGAGAAGCTGCAGACATTTTATTCCTCAGAGAAAAACGGCATCTCTCCCAGGATGCTCCTGGAGGCCGACACACACACCACACACTCCGCAGACAGAGACCACCTGGGCACCATGGAGAGGACACAGACGTCCCCCTCTGCCCCACTGCCCCGCCTGCGCAACGTGGGGCTAAAAGATGGACGAGGCCGGAAGATGACATGGGTAGGGTTGACCCGACCCGGGCCCCCAGGACTACTGGTGAACGGGTCTAAACCTCCCGCATTCCCCTCGCAGAGACAACATACTTTGGTCATTAAGAGCCTCAGACAGGAGAGGGGCAAGAGAAGAGATCTGTCGACAGCCGGAGGTGGAGGTGGAGGAGGAGGAGGAGGAGGAGGAGGAGGAGAGAGAGGGACAGCAGGAGGAGGGATGAATGGAGCAAAGAGGAACTCAGTTCAGTTACGTTCATCTCTCCAGCGTCGGGTGGCGGACCTGAATCTGCCGCTGCTTCCTGCAGCCCTGCAGGGGAAGACAGAGAGGAAGAACCAGCTACACAGCATGGACTACTGATACATAGATGGGAAGAGACAATAAACAGACAGTGATAGAGGCCAGAAATAGCTGCAATTGCAGGATAAGATAAGAGAAGGAGGGTAGTGACATATTTGGAAAGCAGGTTAGCAATTAAGAAATACTGGCCTGTATTGAAATAGGGGCAACATTAAGGTGCATAAAAGTGGAGAAGAAGGATAATGGGTGGATGGTATGGAATACTGAATAGGGCAGCAGTTGAGAACTGGGCATAGACATTTTGAGGAACAGGTGTAAACGGCAGCTACAAAAAGATGCTAAGCTATATTCTTTACTTTTACTGTTCAGTTCATGTATTGTTCAACAGCAGGACTCCTCCCCAAACAAACAGCATACAGGATGCATCATATATATGCTGCAGTGCCAAAAATTCTAAAAACACTCAACAACGCTCATCAGTTTTAATGCGGTCTTCAGTAGCTAGGCTTTGGTCTAGCAGTTTACCATTTTCTTCACCATGTTAATCTCCACCCATCACAATGTGAAGTGCAGATTGCACACAAATGTCTATTTGTATTCACTGTTCTTAAATACATTTTTGTACTAACATTGAAAGTTAAAGTAAAAGCAAGTATCGATTCTACCCTTTTTGTTATGTGTCTGCGTGGCAAGTTTTTTTTGCAAAGCTATTGATTGACTTGTCTCTCAGCTTATTATGCTCAGTTATGATATCTTTACTTTAGCAAAATAAGGATTTTCTGCCTACAGAACAGTGACCAAATGGCTCGCTTCCATGTCACTGCACCTTTGTTTTATCACAATATAAAGTTAATTTCACACATCAACACAACACATCACAAAATAACGCACATTTCTGTAAATGTGCTAGTGGTAACCTGCATTATGAATGGACCTTCCTGTGTAACTGACATGTGGTGTACTGGAATGAGAAAAAAAATTATTCTACCATTGAGCTAGTTTGCAAATGGTAGTATCTCTCACCTGCTAAGGGTCATTGTGTGTTTATGTAAAATAATGTTATTTAAGCACCAGAACTTTTAGGCACCTTCTAAGGAGAAAATACTGTGGCTGCGAAAAACTAAAAATGCCTATCTAGAGACAGTGGGTTTGTCTCCTCTGGGCTACTGTAGAAACATTGGCAGACTCAGTGGAAGAGGTTTTGTTTTTTTCACTAGACTGATACTGTAACTACTCAGGACTTTCTTAGTGCTACCACTACTATGATCTTCGCAAGTTGCAATTTGAAGTGTTTTACAGTTTGAATGAGGACCAAAATGGCTGCAGTGAAATCACGGCAATAACTTAAACTTGGAAACAATTGACACATTTTAATAATATGTTTTAGTTTTTTATATTTTAAATGTTTAGCTTTTCATTGCACCATTCTTCACTGGACCACTGTGAGGGTATCAGATGTGCTTGCTGAATCATTTGTTATACTACAGCAAAACTAAATTCAAGATTACTCCCAAATCTCTGACAAGCGTCTTCTCCCTCATACGCCCTCTGTCGCCGCACTCTTCTTTCATCATGTCACTGTATCATTAATATTCAGATGTGCTGCTGGGGGAATCTGGTTGCTGCTTCGTGGCGCTCTTCGTGGCTGCTAAATAATTCAGGGACTGTTACCTGATACTCAGTTTGCGTGTGTGTGAGTGTGTGTGTGGGTGTGTGTGTGTGTGTGTTGAGGTATGGTGCATGTTCTGCATGTGCCCAATGAGGACAGATTGAACCCACTGAGGTGGATACATCCCCCACTCAAGTTACCTCTTTGGCTACTTAACAGTGATATGAACCAGTAAGCTCTGATACTGTATCAGACAAACACACACATTCACACTGCACAATGGCAATCAACTAAACAAGAACGGCTGGTTAACAGTCAACCTGCCAACAAATACAAGGGGAAAATAATGATCATTTCGGTGTAATCCTATGACGTAAGCTATTTAAATACATATTAACATGCATGCAGGGGACCCAGCAAAACATTTAAAACAACTTGTTTTGAATGCCGTATTTTTGCAGGTCTAGACAAGCATACACTAACCTCCCCCCACTGAGAACTGAGCTCAGTTAGATTGTATCTGAATGGTGCATGTGCGTAAGAATTTGACAAACAAGGTATGGAAAATGGATTAATAATGTATGTTGCACATAGGGATGTATCCATGGCTACTGGAACATTGCGTTTACACGCATGCTACAGTGAACATTGTGTGCCCATAACAGTAACTCCAACCTGCGACTTAAAACACATTTCTTGAGATCTTTCACCCTGTGTCCTGACCAGTGAAAGCCACCACAAAATCAAAGCAAAGAGCAAAGTGAAAGTCAACCCAAAGCTTACAAGTCACTACTTGGAATTGTAATCTCATCCTTGATCACGCATCAGCCTTGCAATAGTATACAGCAGTACTTGGAATCTGTTCTTTTATAAAGAGGAATGGCCATAAGTATACCTGCCCAGAGATCGAGCGGTACAGGTGGAAATATGTACAAATCTATGTGGCTGTAAAGGTGTGCTGTTTGAGCTCATGTTTTGGAGACAAAGACAAAGGAGTTCATACAGAGGTGAAGTCTACTCTAGTGGGTCTCACAGACCTCACAAACAGGAGGTCTTGACATTCTCAGTTCTCAAGTCTCAAATTATGAGCTGGTAAAATCCCAGAATCATTTAAAAATAAATAAGATTGCAATAAGCATACCTTGCATACAAACACAAATGGAATATTAATTGATTAGGTCTGTGCATTGAATGGTGTTGGTCTCAGACATGTAAACAGTGTTTACAGCTTTGAAAGCAAAACTGTTCAAAAGCATCTAAGGACCTGGAAGAAACAATTACCTGGTTGCATAACATGAACACAGGTTGTGGAGGCCTTGTTTACTTCTGCAGTGGTGCTGATGCACCGAATTTACTGGAAAGCCCAGTGTCAGTTTCCTGTCAAGTTCATCTGTCTCTGGCTTTGTAGAATAAGTGAATTGCAAGGTCCTATGGGAAATATAGGAAGTACTGGTTTGACTATCTTAGGATGTAGCTATAATAATGCTTTATCTTGAAATTGTAAGAAAACTACTTTCAGCTCTTTTGATGGTGAAAACTGAAGCATTTTTTGTACATATTCTATCACTCTAAAAGTCAAGTGTAATTTCAGCGAGAAGTTTACACCCACACACTGACTCCCAAGTCACAGATGTATTTAAATAGAGGTTTCTTTGTCAGCTCACAAAAATGTTGAGAATCAGGTTTTCTGATCAAAACTTGTTGGGTCAACAACAAATAAGAACACCAAAACTTTATTGTCCACAATGTGAAAAAATGTGTCTTTGGTTTTTATTTAGACCTTCATAAAAATACAACTCACAAAACATAAAAACATTCAGAAAAGTACAAATCACAAGTCTACACTAATACACATCATATTGACATACTGTGCAAAAGTCAGGAGCACCACTCTGTATCTCAGTCTACCGGATCCTACTTTAATTTATTACCTTGATGGCATTCGTGACACAAGATTTCTTGTAGCTAATTTGCCATCAGTAATCTATAACATCTCACTGAAGGTATAAGATCAAATTCCCTGTGCAGTTGGGGAGAAGCCTCATTAATAATTCTGCAGCTTTACTTCTTAAGAGTTCATCATACATACTACTTGGCAGTTTTTGTGGCTTCCCTATGATTTCGGACAAAGATCCAACTGGGATCGATATGTTGGCTACTTATATAAATTTATGGCTCGGACACTATTCCCTGATCCTATTTTCTTATAGCCCTATATAGTATAACTTTCCATTTGCATAGAATTAGCTTGATATTGTTATGACCAACCTTTTTTCCACTGGTCAGGTCAACTGATGATCAAACAACTGTGGTGTTCCAAAGCACTGACACAGAGGCAGATCTGAAGCTGAACAGCCTTAGTGAACTGTAGTGAATTCTATACATTAAGTGTCACTGTTTACCTCAGCTCACCCCTTCACCAACTTTCTCCTACCTGGGATACATTCTCACCTCTGATCTTTGGCTGTACTAATGTCCTCCCTCGGTGCAAACTCGGTTCCGTTTCTCCCGCTCTCGGTTGCTACAGAGAATGTAGGTTAAGTTGCATTAAAGTTTCAGCCAATGTCATGCCCCGCTAGATAAGACGCTATAGAGACGGCCAGTTGTAGTCACCATAGTTAGTGATGCATGTGTGTGTTTAATAAGGTTTGTTGGCATTACTGAAGACACAAAGCATGCCTGGACATGTCTACTTGGTACTATCAGCAACTGCTTGTTCTGATGTTTGTTATTTTGGGTTGAGCTAGTTATTTATTAGAGAAGCCTCTGAACAGATAGACTTAAATGTTGTTTGAATCCAAGATTAAACAGGTCAGAAACTGTCCAAGTGACTGAGGCCTTTGAGGTTGTGAATACACATGGTCTTCAGTCCAGAGAATGGATGACCGCTTGGCAGCCAATACACAAACTGTACAGGCTATCTAGCAATGGATGCATGGCTATCTGTAGGAGAGTGATCATCTTTATGTCTGTGATCAGCTCAACTGGACTCAGATTTGCATCTAACAGCTAGGTTTGCAGTCAAACAACAACACAAGTAATGGGCAAATTGAGGCTTTGACCTGATGATGGTGTTGAAAATATATGACCAGAGTTATTAGAATTAATCCTGAAGGGGACATGTCTGTAAAAATGTCATGGAAATTGATCCAAAAGTTAGATAATTTCAGTCTCAACGAAAAGTGATGGACTGACTGTGGGCCGTCACTGCCAACCCTAGAGCAAGGCCGCTATTGTTGCTAAGGAACTGGAAGAGAAAGTGAATGGAGACAAAAGAGATGAAGATGGAGTGGCAGCAAAGAAATGCAAACTGACATACCCAGATTCTAGGCTGAAAGCTGAAACCTTCATTGGATGCGTGTGTGCTGGCACATTGTGGATGCATGACCGTCTATGTCATCATTTAACGATTGCAGCTTAATCCCTCTGTTAATGACTGATGAGAGATGTGTCCTTTGTGTTTGCTCTGTCACAGAATAAATGGAGGGATTAAGAGGAGACAAAAAAACAAATGTGCAGCTGCCCCCAACATCAACTTGAGGTAGAATAGACAGGAATACCATTGTATGATCAACCAGAACTCAGTTTACGGAAAATAATACTCATGCAAAATTGCCATGAAATGTAATTAGTTTGTGGTAATATCATAATTTGACACTCTTTCTAATTAGCCAGTAATGATACTGATATGGAAAAAGCAAACTGGTGGTCACCTGGAGGCCACAGGGGTTATAGGTGCAGTGGTTATGGAATGAAATGGATGGTGTTACTCCATTAGCACTTCAATAGTCTTGGGTGTCTTTGAGAATAATTGCCGTGCCCATCACAGTGTTTTGTGTGTGGGTGTGTGTGTGTGTGTGTGTGTGTGTGTGTGTGTGTGTCAGTCTGGGCAAGCCTATGTTCCGGCGTGTCTGGTTTCTAATGATGGTCATCCATAATTGAGTTTCACCTCGCAGGGGGAGCGGTCCAGGGTGGCACGGTGGTTAACTAGTCTCCGGCTGCTCGCCATGACAGTTTGTGTGTGTGTGTGTGTGTGTGTGTGTGTGTGTGTGTGTGTGTGTGTGTGTGTGTGTGTGTGTGCGTGTGTGTATGAGTCACGGGGGTCAGAAGCGCACAAAACGTCCAGCGCCGCAGAGCAGCAACCCGAGCCGAACGCTGTTTAATTGATACCACCTCTGATTAACTGTCAGTTCAGGATCAACACCAGCCAATTCACTAAAAGACGCCCTGACCAGAGGGACACTGTGTCACTTTAACCTCAACACATGGAACTCCACCTTAACAGCAGGATGACGGTCGAAAAGAAGTTATCAGAAAATAGGGGTGTTTATCTTGGGAGTGAAGTCAAGCTCCCCGAAGATTTTACACTGGATTCATTTTACTTTAAAGGGTTATTAGTGAATTTGAGGAAAAGGGCCCTTGCAACTGAGTTCCAACAGTGAGTCTTGAGCCTTTAAGATAATTTAAAGCCACCTTATGTACAATATTTATGTAGCTATAACATCTTGAAAATTATTTTAAATCGCATAGATTTAGTCTTTTTAAATTGTGATTGTCTCGTTTGTAGATTGGTAGACCTCGCTGTGTCTTTTTACCCCTCGGGGGTGCCAAAGTCCAGTTCTGATTTCAAGCCCATCATCATCTATCATGCGGTGCCCTTTACAAAGGGTTCATAGGTCACTTACTAATACTTTATAGATCAGTTGTAAGCCATTAATAAGAACAATTATTAAATTGCCAGGTTGTGATAAATCTCTCTTGCTGACATATTAAGTCATTAATGAGGATGAGCAGCTTGATCTATAAAGCTGTAGTAACTGATTTAGTAACCATTAATAAAGTAATTGGTTTATATTTAAATTAAACTTAAAAGGTTGACTTATTAGAAAGTGGTACCAGCTATTTAAAGCGATAGGTGATGAGTATCAGTATGAGTGGCTTGTGTTTCTTTGTAGAAGAGCAAAACTTTAACGAGAATATACTGAACATACTGAACATATGAATCAACAACAGGAAAGTAGATATGCTGACTTTATGACTTTCTTCTTTCATTCTTTCTTAAACTGAGACGCTGTTGGAATCTATGGTAGCTGTTGTGAATCAAAGCTGACGACAGCCATCGTCCTAAGTGCCTTTCAACTTTTCTAATGAATTTCAAGCCTTCAGGCGGAGAATGTTTGACTGATTTTTGGTTGAATATTCCTTTGAGCATGAGAAACATTAAACAAATCACATTTCTCTAGTGTCTACTTGTTTGACAATTCAGTTTAGCACATACTTACAGAAAAAAATTAAAGTAAGACCCCCTTAATGCAGAAAGAAGAGTGGAATAAGAGAAACCAAAGTGTACAGATACAAATATGTTTTGTTATAATTTCTTTAAAAAATATTCTTATCTACATTTATTTCAGTATATCGTATGGGGATCTTAAGTGAAAGAAAACACTTTGAACCCTGCTGCATTTGGCTGCTCCCAGACAATGAGGTGGATCACATATTTAATGGACGAGCAAACCTCTGGCTTGCTCACAGCACATTGTTTGGATGAATCATTGCTTGATGAGAGTCATATTTCTGGATGAAAAAGATCCCGTCAAGATAAGCGACTGACTGCGGCTGCCAGCTGTTTTGACAGGCAGAACTCAGCACCTACACTTTCACAACAGAGGGGCCGATCCAAGACAGACATTCTCGGCCTCCACGTTCAAACATAACTGACTCAATGATATACAAGCCATTATTAAAGGCTAACTCACCACATAGTTCCTCCGTTTGATGTTCTCTGGCAGTTTCTCTTTAAGATTACTTGAAGATTTCTGATTTCAGAAATCAACGCTCCCTGCCAAACCTCTTACATATGATCCCTGGGGGCGTTTAGAGTCCCTGTGAAAGTGCAAAGATGATAAAAAACAAAAACAAATGCACAAGTTTTTGCCACCAGACAAACTTGATGGGGAGACAATCAATTATTAATGAAGTCTGTAACAGAAAGCAGAGCCACGAGTCAGAGGTGTTAAGTTCAGCACACATGTTGTTCACACTGTGAAGATGACTTTAAAAATGCCAACTGTTGTTTTACCTGTGAAACTCATTTTAGAGTGAAGAGTGTCCAGAAACTTTCATTACTCCCCAACTCTCACCCCTCAACTGCTGCGACCATCAACATAGAGCAGATATCATGTATGCTCCAACATGTGTTATTCTGCAGCTCCATCTGCTGGAGGCTCTGTGTAGTGCAGGTTGTTTTGCTATTACAGTTCTTCTCTATTGCTGTATGTACCCCGTAACCAGTTCTGCACAACACTTAACACATTTTAACCATTGCACTCTCACTACAAAACCATCAGTAATAAACATGTAATATGTTTCCTGTTAATCATGTTGATTTGTAGTATTCTGATGCATCATCATGTTCTGTAAGTAAGTCTGTAAGTACCCAGCAAGTAAGCAATATCAGGCCAGCAGCCGATTTCACCTCTGTGATTATACCTGACTGCACAGCTGGTGTGATGCAAGCAAGCAGGTTGTAGGTTAGGTTTTACACATACAGGTTATTTCTCAAAAGATGACAATTAAAAATTCAGAGATAAACTGAACTGGATTTGGGAGGGAAGTGGTCTTCAAATGGCTAAATCTGAAGTTCAAGCTAAGTACACAGTAAGCACTACTATTTATGTATGCAGACAGTGCATTTTTTAATTTCCAATAGGTGCTAACTGATTAAATGGCTGCTTAATATAAGGGAACCAATAGAGGAAAGGTTCAGATTGAAGGCGTTAACTAAGGAGAATCTACAGAAACTTCCTTGTAGGTGAACTGAGAACAACAAAGTCTCTACATCTGGGTGTGTTAGTCTGGTGTGTTGGTCTTCCCTTAGTTTTTCTTAAACTACAACACCTCAGCAGGTGGTGATGCTTTACAGCAGGCTGACAGAAAGCAGGGATGTTTATCTCTGTAGTGAAAAATGGTTACTCTGCAGGAAAAAGTCATAAGAATGAGACAAATATCACTTGAATTTCTGCACCGAGTTGAGGATGAACTTATTTTGGTTTCTAGACTGCTGGATTTACAGGCTGTAAAAGGAGCGTGATAATACAGTCCATCCTCTGCCTTACTGTCACTGTCTCACAAGAAGGATCTGATATTCTCATTTCTAGATACAGTAACACACAGGTACTGTGAATACTAATTCTAATACTAATACTTATACTAATAGTGTGGGTGACCTATTAAAAAGAACATGGCAAAGCTTGTTTGTAATTTCCGTCTATTTTTTCTGGTTTGTATTCTACTTCTATTTCGATTACCTCTGCTTTGAAATGGAAAAACACAAATGTTGCTGTCCTTGAATGTTTTTCTTGAAAAAAAATTCCTGCACACAGTTCCCTGCTGTGTTTAGAGCGTGTATTAGGGGTGTAACAATTCACCAAATCCACGGTTTGGGTCAGACCTTGATTTTTGAGCCACGGTTCGGTTCATACCGCGGTTTTCCCCGTTTCCCCATTTTGCAGAGAAACAGAGAGAGAGGTGTTATCTGATATTACATTAAGCGGATACGGCAGAACTCTTACATTACGGAGCGTCAGTGAACGCACCACTGCAGATGTCACTCACTAACGATAGTTTCGGTTTGGACCCACATGCGGCACACTTAAAACCTGAATCACGGGTGAGTTTATGAACCGTACTGCGGATGGAGAAAGTCATTAGCGACACACACAGGGAGAGAGAGACAGAAAGAGGCGGAGCAAGTGGGCGTGTTTGCCGTGAGTGAGCAGAGGTCCAGGCTAGGTGTGTGTGCTGTGTGTGAGTGTGGGGAGAAGAGAAAGGGAGCAGATTAAAGTAGTAAATAAACACTGAAATAAGGTGGAGAATGACCTAGAATAACCTACTGTCAATACAAATACGATATAGGCGTACACCACTACCACCCCACGGGCCACTGCCACCGCCGCAGTTACACTGTCTTAACGGGAGCTCAACAGTCCAGGTGTCGCGGTTCTGTCTCTCGGATCCGCGACACGAGACCGTGGACTTTAGTGTCGTGATTTCGGTCTCGGTTTCAGAGCCGTGACAGCCCTAGCGTGTATTGCCGTGTGTTTGTATGTGTGTGTGTGTGAAAAGAAAAGTTAAGTTGCCTGTGATCTTGATATGTTGATACAGAACTTGATGCTTTTGTAAGAAATGTGTGTAAGCAGTGGAGAAAAACTGGATGAAGTTAAATCTAACTACCTCCCACTTAATTAAAGAAGGGTCACTAGAAACAGAAGGCCTGTTAAAGAGAGATGTAAATGCTTCAGCAGTCCAACTACTGAGTACACGAGGCTCAACGCTGCTCTCTGCTGATCCCTAGTGGATATTAAAGGAACGTTAGCTCATAAAAGTTCAAGTTTCTGGCCACGACACAGTGAAGTGGTTAACGAAAATCCACTTTTATTTGTTTCTGGACAGTCCTTTCATTCACTGGTTAAATACAACATCACAAGTAGCCACACTGAAGCCCTGGAGTGTTTGCCAGGGCAGCATTATATAACAACTTAGTCACAATTTGAACAACTTGGTTCATTGATCCAGGGGGGATTAAGACAGTTTTCCTAGAAAGTGGTGAGTGAAGCAGAGGAGCACACTACAAAAAATGCCTGAAAAATTAGCTCTGAAAATTCTTTATCCTAAATAAAGAGATGAATGAATCTGCTGGCTGGGTGAGAATTTCACTTGTTCTTATCTTCTATTTTCTGTTTTGTAGAATGGCACAATTTTTCTCACCCAGCTTGCATTTTTCTAGTAGTATGATATGAAATCCCTTGTTGCATTTAGCATTGTTTGTAGTGTTTGCAGGCTGGGGTGGAGTTCTTCACACCCAGAGCCTGTCCCCCTCTCCCAACTATCCCAGAGAAAAAGACCAGATCCAATCAAACAGTGGAGCAGGAGAGATGAGAATTATTTAAAAAAGTTCTTTAGCGTTGCAGGATTTGGAGCTGACGAGAAGAACGCTGCTGACTGGCATCATCCCCCTGGTCTAAAAAAAAAAAAAAAAAGAAACCAGCCACATGCGTTTTTAGAAATCAGCCTACCGGAAAGAAAAAAACAATCCCATTTGTAGTTTAAAAAATAAAATAAAAATGAGGAAATAATATATGTATTTACACAGATATCCACACATACAGAGTATACACCCATACATTAACAGACACGTACACATGGATCTCTACATACCCTAACAGTGCATGTACCCCACCAGAAAAAAAAAACAGTTTACCGTTTAAGTGGCAAAATCTCAGTCACAGTTGTTCTCACGTCACTACAATCTACGGTCTCCAAAGTCACAGATGTGGGGCTTCATTACCAACGTGTCAAATCAAATTACAACTATGATGTGCTTATGACTGCATACAAGCTTCTCCCAGTTGCAGAGCAGAAGTACAGCAAACCAAAAGGCTACTTTACTGGGTATTATGGCAGTAGAGTTGGATCTTACGTTGTTTCTCCCAGTCGTGACAGTACTGCAGGGACACTACAAGGCTGTGGTCTAAATGTTCAGTGTTGCTCGATAACAAATTTACAAAACTTTTGGAGAAGTGGTAAAAATGATCCACAAAAATCCAAGTGTTTTTTTTTTCCCCCCTCCCCAGTGTATCTAATGTCCTATGTAGTTTTAAAGTATCCTCACACTTCTATTGCAGCGATCTACCTTATACGAGATGATTAACATTCAGACTTCATGTTCAAACGTAACTCCCAATTGAGCTTGCCATTCACGAGGCAAGTACAAGGCTTTCCCAAAAGTTGTTATCCTGGTTAATTTGAACAATTTTCCTTCATTGAGACACAGACATTGGACCGGTGGTTTAGTTGACTGGGTGAACCTGTTAAAAAGTGAGCCATGACATTAAACCAGAGCCCCGGCAGACTTTGTGGGCTAAGATCCTTGCTTGAGACGAAGTTTAAAAATATTGGTGAAAAAGAACACTTAGTCTTGGCTCCACATTGATCATTTAGGATACAGTCAGGCCAAGCTTGAATTGTGAAACTCTTGAGCGTAGCTTTCCTGTCCTATGTCGACAGATACTGGAGTCCTTGCAGATAGACAAGACTAGTAACTTTTCAACAGCATGGTCAAAAAAGGGATTCCAAAAGGTCGGGTTACACACAAAATAATGCATTTCCTCCAGACTACAACCACGCTGACAAGCTGTATATGTTGTAACATGAAGAAAATAACGGATTTTTGCAGTGAAAGGTGAAAGATGAAACGTAAGCCCTGTCAAATCTTAATTAGCCTGGCAGTGAAAACCAGTCTGATCAGAACCCAAAGTCCAGTGAGCAGCCACTATCAAATATCCATCTTCACCATGGATACATTGTTCAAATCACACGGAGGAACAGTGTTTAACAGACTGAAAAACAGAAACAAAAAAACAAAACAAACGCAACAATACAGTTTCAGAGTTATCTGACAGACAGTTTAAAAGATGTAATAATATCTGTGCGTAAGCTGGACAGTGTGACGCCAGGCGGTGTTGTCGCGTTTGTGGTGTCTTGTGCGAAGGCTTGTTCCCTCAGAGTGAGTCCGCTCCATTGACGGTTTTTGAACGCACTCTTCATTCAAGCGCTGCGCAACTAAACCACAAACCATTGCCATGGCAACAGATAAACAAATGACCAAATATGTATTAAAAAAAAAAAAATGTAAAAAATAAAACCGAACGAATCAGCATGAAGACACGACACCTCAAAGGGTAGGGAGAGCCGCGAGGCCAGTAATCACAGAGGTCAAAGTGGAGGGTTAGTAGAGTTCAAAAGGTCGGAGGTCACCCTGGTCAATTCTTGCCCTGGTTAGTCGAAATTAAACTCTGTTTACCTATGACAACTGCGGAATTAATTAGAGGGAAATTTATACAATGTTTTACAGGAGTAATCATCTTTCTTTGAAGTTTCATTTTAGTTCGAAAATAAAATGCTCAAAACCCCTTCACACATACAGTATATATATATATATCTATTAACATTTATCACAGGGATTTTCAACAGAAAATCATCCAATGATAAAAAGGTGACTGAACCTTTAAATTCTGAACACAACTGTGGATGTATGAGCCACGTGTGGGCAGAATTTAGGAGTTTGGTCAAGTTTCGAAACAACACTACTTGAGGCATTCCTGTTAATATAATAAAACTTAAATGGTGTTTCCCCAAGGCATATCATACATTCATAACACAGATGTGAGTGCAATTGTGTGTGTTTGTGTGTGTGTGGCTGTGTTTGTATTTGAAATACTTGCCACGAGATATAAATGATCTGCATGAAAGCAGAATAATGTAATTATGTCTGTGTGTGTGTGTGTGTGTGTGTGTGTGTGTTTGCATGGCTCCTGTCCTCACGACTGAAGCACATTTCCGTAGGAAACAATTGCACCTCATTGGCTCAACTGAGTTAGCCAATCACCAATGACGGAAGCCAGAGCCCCTGGGCCTGCCCAATCGCAGAGAGCAGAGTTTGGTTGGTTGGTTAGGAACATGAGTTGTGTGTGTGTGTGTGTGTGTGTGTGTGTGTGTGTGTGTGTGTGTGTGTGCATGTGTATGTGTGTCTGGGGACAGTGGAAAAAAAGGGCCACAGTTTATTCCACTTGCAGTGTCCTCATGAATGGAGGGCAGGGGATGAGGTTTCCGTGGTGATGAGAGTGAAGTGTCGATAAGCCGAGGAGGGGAGGAGCCTAAACCTCAGCTTCTTTCAAGCCGATTCGTTCTTCCTCCTGTCAGTCACTGTTGGGCTTCTTCAGGGAGAAGGCGAGGATGTTGAAGTGGCCGCTGAGCTGTTGAACCTAGCGATGGAAAAAAACATTGTTTTATTGGAGATGTTCAAATTCAAATGTGTATAATTTTCAACATTTAGCAGCTAAGGACCAACACATGTAATTCTGTCTCTGACTTTGAAGCACAGGGACTTGAAGTAGTATTAATAGGACTACACTTAGACGTTGGACAGTTACATAAGAGGGTGGATATGACTCGCATATCTGTCTGTTAAATACAATTCTACAGCCTGCAGCAGGTTAGCTTAGCTTAGCTTAGCACAAACACTGGAAATGAGGAGACAGTTAGCCTGGCTCTGTCTAAAGGTAACAAATGTTAATTAATTAACACGCTGTATCTTGTTTATTTAACCCGTAGTATAAAAAAGACAATTCATCTTTTTGCATTAGGTCATGTGCAAGATTGCCCGGAACCAATCCAGCAGGTTACCACTCAGAGCCCGGCTAGCGGTTTCCACTGTAAGATTAATATAAGCCAGCCGGCTGCTATTTGTAGCTACATATTTACTGTCCATTTTTTATTTCATTATTTCAAAGAGGTACTGTGTGTGCTCTTACCACTGATACACCGTAGTGTATGTGCGCTAGTATGACAGCAGCTGTCCACAGATACAGGAGCAGGGTCTCGTTGCCGACCACCCCGGTCACCGCTAACAAAACCACCGGCGCCATGGGCAGCAACAGCCAGCTCAGTGCCTGGCAACGTGTGTTACTCATCTGACACACAATCAGCTTACACTGCAAGATAAAATACAGACATTCACACATGAATAAATGTACATTATAACCTAAATACAGACATGTATGTATTGTGTGTCTGTCGAAAGCACAAAAAGAGTAATGGCGTATGTGTGTTTAAAATCAGCAGACGCTCACCGTGACATTAGCGAAGGCTGTTCCCACCATGAGGTAGAAGATCCTGGGCTGCAGCTCGAGGATCTCGGATGGAGAGTAGACCACCCAAGTTGTGGACAAGACAAAGAGGAGGACAGGAGAAAGGAAGGGAAGGAATGCTTCATACAGGCTGCTGTGCTTCAGAGTGTTACTGCGGTAAGCTCTGCGAAACCACAGAGGTTGAAGAGTTCAGAGCGCTGTGTGAAATAATAATACTACAATGTAATAAAACGCTAATGAAAAGTTGACTTACTTCAGGACATTGTAGAGGCTCATGGGTAAGGTCACAGTGAAGGAACAGGCTGGGAATAAAAAGAGAAGTAAATTATTATAGCTGCTTGAGCTAGTGAATGAATGTATACAGTGTGACCAATCACAGCTCACCGATGATCATAAAGGTGAACAGGTCTCTGTAGAGGAAGTGCCAAAAGACCGGCTTGTACCATGTTTCCACGCCAACCACAGCAGTGACCAAGTAAACGAGGGATATGGTCTGAAAGGAGATGAGACCCAAGGCATCAAGTCATTAGAAGGTTGGTACATCAGGGTGTTGACCATTTGTTAAACCCCTCCCCCAAACAGTGACTTCCCAATCATCGGAGATGCCGTTCCATTCGCTGCATACATTGGTTAGTCCTCCTCATAATAGCCTTTTGACTTTTAATGTTGAAAGTGAACATTACATTTTTGTGAATTAGACTTATACCACTAGAGCGAACTGTCTCTACACTGAAATACAAGAACAGTGGTGTTTCTTTATTTATGGCTCTTCTTTACGGATCACTAAGTGGTGAGGATGCTAATTCATCACCTGCACCTTTAAGATCCCTTTTACCTTTCTCATTTTAAAACCGGTTCATTCAAAGGTCAGCCAGAGACTGCATTTTCAACTAACTCTAATGTTAGCTAGCTGGCATTTCAACCAACAAAAACTGACTGCCAGAGAGCTTGGTTTGATGCACCGAGAGAACATCAAGCTTGACTATGGTAGCAACAGTTACTACAGGGTCAGGGATTAGCAAATGGTCAATTAACTAGCTGTGGATTTCATCTTATTTCACATCTAGGTCCATGTGTACGGGTTCGTGTGGGTCCTTACCACTTGGCTGATATCGTATCCCCAGGGCAGAAACAAGATGCCAGTGTTATATTTCTCCCAATGAGACAGAATGAACGAGAACAGCACCACCCACAGGATGTAATACAGTGTGGCCACGCCCACGCCACTTTCCCCTCGACCAAATATGGAGTAGACAGTGGCCACAAAGAAGATGCAGGCCCAACTGTCCAGGCCATGGTCAAACAGCTCCCCTAGAGGTGTGGATGAGTTGGTGCGACGAGCCTGTTTACCATCAACACCATCTACACATAAAAAAAAAGACACAGATCATTACATACGTTTGTGTTTACATAGCAACACATAAACATATAAAGATGTTCTTTTTTTAACGTCTCCCATTTCCACTCAGCCAAATCTGCTGCCCACACTCACATAACTGTACAAAGTCCACATTCCTGCTGCCCACTACTGAGTTCACTGTCAGAACTACACTCATTTCATCCACACATGGAAGTATTCTGCAAACTCACCCTCATATGAAAATGCCATATGGAAAGTGATTTCATTTTAAATGGTTCACAAAATTGTCAGCCAGCTTTTAAACTGACTTTAGTCTGGTTCACAGAGTACATTTCTACACACGAATAAAAACACAAACAGAGAAGGAATTTGACAGTAAAATGAATCTGTATTTATTTGGCAGCAGAAAGATTCACTGACTAACAGCCTGGGGGAAAGTTGAGGGCATCTATATGGTATTTATATGACTAAGTGCCTTTGCAACTGTCAGTGAGCGTGCTATAAACAAGATCACATTCAGTTCGCCTCTCTAGCACTTCTATTAGAATTCCTATAAGCTACTGATGAGAGGCATTATTCAGGAGCTCTTAGTCAGGAAAATTGTCCCAACACGTACCAACATTTATTATGCATAATGTTACACCTTGTTGTGTAAATGCTGCTCTTGTGTTGTGATCAATACCGTTTGAACCACTGGGGTGAAGAGTAAGGGGGTGTGTGGCACAGTCACATTAGTATTTAATAACTAATTACGGAAATTACGATCTCCATTAAATGCCTTGGATGATCGCACTAAACAGTGAACATCAATTTATGCTGCATTTAAATGGATTCAGACTGATGAACTGAAACTGAAGACAGACAGCACCTTCCTCAGCACAGGAACAAGCAAACAAACCATCCGCTAGAATGGCAAGACTTCAAAATGACACACACGACAATATGTTGCTAGGTTGATGTCACATAATTTAAAAAAAAAGTAATAAATATGTATTAAAATAATAAAAAATAAAATTATTACATGCATAGTATCTTATGTAAATTAGCAATTATTAGAAAGTCAAAATTTCCAATACTTTCTCCTTGTGTGAGGGAGCTAGAGTACATAACTCGAGTTTAAAATTTTTTTTTTTTTTTAAACTTTGGACCAACAATGCTGCCTACTGTTGGTGGATGAGAGTAGAAAGGTCAACATCAGAAAGTACCTGTAACACTAACATGGCATCCGGTTTGCCGTCTACTGTTTGCCGGTATCCATGTGGATGCAGCTTATGTCAAATATTGCTTTTCATTTAAACCTGGAGCACATATTACACATTAACATCTTTAAATGTCTTTCTCAAGGGTCTGTAAACAGTAGTTGTTGGAACAAGGCAGAGTGTGTCTAATAAATGACCCCACCCATATTTCAATGCCTGCTTCTCCCACTTGTTTCCTTTTCCACACACACTTAAGGTGGCCATTTCATAAAAAAAATCTGAATTTTAAGTTGAAAAGTCTGACTACTACATCAAATGTACTACCATAACACTAAATACAGACTGGATAGCTTTGAAGTTCTTACAGCTCAAATCACATACTGCATGTTTTTTTTTTTTTACGTTTACACAATATACTGAGGATTTTCCCCAAATGCTGGTGGTGGACAGAGTCACTCTACAGAATACATTCCATTAGGAAGAATTTCCCCTGAGCCTCTCGAAAAGTCAGAGATAAAACAACACACATGGGATGCAGGGGTTAGGACTCACCCAGTGTATAGGCCAAGAAGTTGAAGATCCCTGCAGCAACCCAGACCCAGCTAGGCACGTGTTCATGTCCTGCAGCTGAGACACAAATAATGTAAATATGCAGCACATCACACCACACAGAGAAAGCCACAGACAGCCAAATGATTTTTTAATTCAAATACAAATTTCCTCAGGGTTTGGTTAGAACTTATCTAATCTAAAAATGGAAATGCAGAAACAACTGTATGGAGAAACAACTGCTGAGGAGAATATTTTTAGGTGAACCATTAACATGTGTGCATCAGTTGGTTTAGCTATTCTTGTAAGGGCTTGACAGCAAATATTCTTGTTAGTAGGGATGGGAAGATGTACGATATTATTGCGTATTGTGGTGGCAATTTGTTTAATAAAGCATACAAAGTATGATCTTGTCTTTCTGTAAGGTTTTATTCAAGTCATCCATGAATGATCTCAACGCAACCGTCACACACTCTCGTGTGTCCAGTCCAAAAGAGCCCCGATTGGAAGAAGCAGTATGATTTTATCCCTGTTGGAGCGTCACTCTAACACAGTTACACATTCCTGAGTTCTGGGACAGCAAACAGACGGATAGTGTGGTGAGATGATCATGTCCTTGGCTTCTTTGTGAAGTCTCAACATCCCGCTGTTTACTTGGACATATTAGAAACAGGGCTAAAGGTTATATGCATATAATAGCCATTTTAACAGTTGCGTATCGTTTTACAATGACCAGGTCAAAGGGTCAAATAGGTTCCTAAAAATTGCCATTACAGTATTGTGATAAAAAAAACAATCAGATACATTTACCCTAACCCTGAATTTGCAATATCAGGATAACCCTGAATATCTTTAATATGGCTTTACCTGAAAAAGCTGTATAGCTCACCAGCATACAAAATGTAAAGTGAAGGTAAAGTGATTCCAGTGTGTTTTAGTGCCATTTTGAAAGTATAAAGTATATTTTCATGATTGTCGCAATGTATCGCAATTATTTTGGCCAAGATAATAATGACATGAAATTTCCATTTTGTCCCATGCCTACTTGTCTTTATAGTGACTCTAGATGTTAGAGGATTTCTCCATTTTTTTCAGTCACAGACCACTTTAAATATATGCAAAATCTCAACACACGCAGTCTAAAAATGTAATAGAAAAAAAACGAACGCATAACAACCCTCTGATGGCAAACACGCGCACACAAATGGTTGTTATGAGAGAGCGAGAGAAAGAGAGACCGGGGGTGATAGGGATGGGGGTAAAAGTGACTTACTATCAATGGGAAAACTGAGCCTGGAACGATTGGTTGATTTGACAATTTTATACCACATACCAGGCACAGAGGAAGAGGGGTTGATGGATCCCCAGTAAGGATGAAACATGAGACACATAGCTGTCGTCTTTTCATCGTCTTGCTGCTGACCTCAACTACCCTCACTGCTGGACTATTACATTAGTATGAACACTCAGATTCTATCGGATTCTGGCTCCTTTATTTTCAAAAAACGGTCCAAACTAGTCACTGTAGCTCTTGTAACTTTGAAAGAATTGTGTGGTAATAAAAACAAAAACAAACACTATATGCTATTTACATATTGACATAGTCGTTCACTCACCCTGAAGTTGTGACATGAGGAAAGGGGCATGTGAGATAAATTTTGATGACGTGTGAGGTGGCTGAAGATCTGTATTTTCATGATGTAGCTATAGTGTTTTTTGGATTTTAAAGCACTTGTCTGGAATGTCTTACATCTTTACAGAGTATTGTGTCAGTCTTTGTTCAACTCCTAGAGATATTGTTGAACTTATTAACAGCAGTAGCTCAGTGTGTGTGTTTGTAGGATGTAATGGGTTAGCGATTACCCTGAACCACCACAGGCACCGTCATGTTTCACCAGGCGATGGACTTTGCCTTTCACTCACCAACTCACCAACATACACACCTCTGGTTTTCTATCATTTTCTAAACAGATTGGGGTGGTTCCAACCAGTTTATAGTATGCTTTAAGACAAAACAAACTGAACGACACTCCCTTATGCACTAGACAAACACAACTAGGGAAAGAATAAGTAGTGTATAGGACCTACCGGAGGCAGTAAAGTCAGAGTCGTAGAAGGCCAACATGAGGAAATTCAACACAAGGAACATAAAGCCTGTAAATGTAATGAGGTTTGGCGCCAACCATGTTGGTAGAAACTGTAGAGAGACAAAAAGACAGTAACAGTTAATTAACATGTCACTCAGCTCCTAAAGTCTTCTCATCATATTGACAGTGATTAAATAACTAGACAGTAATTACTGTTGTCACACTTTAGGGACAGTTACATAACTGTTAGGCAGAGACAATTTTAGCGACAGAGATATGAATTTTGATAAATTATTATCAGGTTGCCATCCAGCAGAGATTCATGTAAAAAGATAAATGCGTCACTGCCTTTGAAACATACTGTTTGCAAGGACATGTCTAAAAAATGAACAGTCTGTGCCTTTTATCAGGTACATGGCAGCATCTAAAACAACACAATATCTTTAAAGAACAAAACAAATTATAACAATCAGAGATTGATGTGTTCTGACAAAGAAGGAGGTGGTGCTGGTGTGTGACGCTGTCTTGTTATTGTATCACAGCAGACGGCTGGAAACCTCATTAATGATGTATACATATACACACACACACATACGCAGAGCTGAGCAGGTCTTTCTCACCTTCACCACAAAGTTCCAGAAAGGGTGCATGACATAGACAGACAGGGGATTCGAGTCCACTGCGCTGTACTGCAAAGAGACACAATTTAATCAGAATGTGATTATCAAACATAAACAGCTGCATTTTTACATTCAATTCATTTCATCTCACTGCAAGTGAACAAAGACGTGAAAAAATGCCATATGGCCTCACACGTAACATGTTTACTGGATCATTTTGGTAGCCTGTCATCATGCAGATCAAAACAAACCTGATTCCAGTCCCTGTTACTTTATCCAGGCATCACAAACATGTGTGTGTGTGCTACAGTGCAATGTACCATCTCTGGTGTTCATACAGACTAAGAAGTGTGTTTTTAGGCCTTCAATTAAGAGTAAATGCTGCCTCTCTGATGTCAATCTTCTTCGAGGGCTGTTTTCTGTGACTGAGTTCGATTTTTAGATTTTGACCTCATTCTTAATCCCAGTTCACATGGAAAAGGACTTGGATCTGCATTTTCGGGTCACTACGAGAGACTTAATTATTGAGCTTTAACTGCACTGTTTTCACAAGAGCACTAGACTCTGAAGGAGCTCAAATTCCCCACTGCAAACATCTGTTAACACTACAACAGCTGACCAGGGACAAAGATTGACGCTAATACTCAGGACGCTTCCTCATTCCGCGTAATGGATTAATTATCTAATCCATTATCAAGATTTTAATTTTCAAAAATGATATGATGTTCTGTAATGTCAAAAGTGTGTGTTCCTCAAATCAACAAGAACAACTAATGTGATTATTCATCACCACATGAAAAAAAACGTAACCATAATTCACACTCTGGTCTTGTACAAACACAACTGTACAAATGAAAGCAAATACAAGCACTGACACAGAGACACAGTTCACTTCCACAGCAAGGGAGGTGGCTCTGCCAAGTGTGACAAAGGCCGTGAGAGGCAGAAAGATGGATGACAGCATGAAAAACAGACTGGTTTGTTCTCTCATGCGCTTTCCACGTGCATGCTTGTGTCCGTGCACCTTAGAGGAATACAACCAGTGTGTCCAAGAGAGCCACAGCCCTTTCATCCACTCACATTTGTCATCCTCTGCTCTCCTCCGGCCCCTGATGCTCGAGGCACAGTAGCTCACACATGGAGTGAGCCACTTAATAAGCAATTATTGGAAAAGGCTCTCTCATGAAAAACAGCTCAGGGGAGCATTTTCACACAGTAATCAAAGGACGGGGTATTAGAGAGAGAGCCAGCTTGTGTCATTTAAGGACAAAGAGCATTACCAGGAAAATACAAAATAAATCTTATTGTCGCAAGAACTGTTTCAAAACATACAGGACTTTTGCTATTGTCTTTACACGTGGCGCAAAGCTTTATATGAGAATTACTTGCCTGTCTGTAACTCCAGGGATACACTGAGTGCTAAACTGCTCATAAACTAATATACACAGTGCCAAAGTCAAATTATTCCCCTCTTATCAAAACTGAATTGTCTTGTGTCATTAGATCCTTGAATAACCACCACTCCTGTTTTCTACAGTCCAGTGACAGGACAACAGACTCCTTGTATCTGTATTGCCACATTGATGCTCATCTTTATGGGGATCAACTGAACACTGGAAGGCTTGTGTGACATGCAGAAAGGGGGTTACTGTGTAACCTTTTGACAACACAGCTCTCTGGTCACTTGAATTCTTATAAAAGTGATTTCAGTCGTCAACCCCTGTTTAATATCAGCGTTTCCCCAACAGTGTGCTGGTTCACGTTGAGTGGTTTCCCCCTTACTTATCTATTACAGCTACTTGGTGTTATTTCTCTTCTGTTGTTGCAATATTAGCCAACATTAAAAGAACTGAAGACAAACGGGAGATTCTCCGAAATGTGAGAAAACACTAAATAAAGTCAACTGACAGTATATAAGTTATAAGATAAAGCATTATTTCATAGCCAAGCACCGCCGTACAGAAAGGGCAGCTAGCTATTAGCACATTTGCGCCAGTCAAGCTCGACATCGTCAACGATGAGACTTCCGGCAACCACTTTCAAAATAGAAAAAGTACGTTAGTTCCCCAACATTATGTCGAAACACAATCGCACTTAGAATAAGAAGAATCTTTGAAATATTTAAATATAATTTTGTTTTATTCGGCTGACTCAAATTGCGTTTATAATGCGTGTATTTGTCAGACAGAAAGTCAACCTTGAAATTGTAGACGAGTGTTCAAACACCACAAATGGTTTCTGAGCCCAAACCTGAACGCTAACAGTTTCCCCCAATCAATGGTTAGTGAAGACAACTCCTTTAACAACACTATTATGGTCATAGCGGCATACAAGATGCCATCTAAAGTCACCTGAGCAGACTATCCTGTAGTTCTAACTAACTACACCACACTTTTATTTTCTAGGGGGAGATTTGACAAGTATCTGGTATGATTTCAGCTAGCTCACTTTGGCTACCTTCACACACTTATTTTTCAGCCAGGGAAGCACCCTGCAGATCGTGACAGCTAGCTGTTACACACACACACACACACACACACACACACACACACACACACACACACACACACACACACACACACACACACACACACACACACACACACACACACACATTGTGGGCTCAATGGCTGGATGCTAGCAGGCTAATACAGTATATTAATCATACCTTGTATTTGTCGAAGCCCGCGAGCTGCTCCTGAGTGACATATTCGTAAAGAGCCATGGTGGTACAGCCCGGCTCCACAATGACAGAAATGGATATCTCTGCCTGGAAAATCCAATCCCCAACGTTAGCTGCCGAGTCGAAGTACCATCTAGCTTGGCCGCTGTCGTTCACGCCGGGTGAGGTGATGTCGAAACATTTGGACCACTCCTACGGGGTGCAAACATCCAGCTAACTGGAGCTCACTACCGCCCCCTGTGGTCTGGATGACAGCGATAACATAATGAGAAAAAAAACATGTAAAATTCCGTCCAGTGGTCCGAAATGACATCATTTTAATTATTTATGGTGTCACTTGAGAAAAGTGATATGAATAATGGTTGCTAGGGTGTCGTATCTAGGTTTTATTTTTATTAATGGAACAATGAGGTCCGCTCTATTAAAACTATTTCTATAGTGCTCTTAAACGTGACGTGTCTTTCACCTCCAACCGGAAGAGAGAGACAGATTTGCTGGTTTGCTGCTGAGCGGCTGATATATCGCTCGAACCGAGACTAAAGCCCAAATCAAGGGATCATGTAAGTAATAACAACAACAGTGAAACTGCAACGCAATAGATTTCGTTTTGTAACTGCCGTGAAGCTTCACTTGAAGCGTCCCATGTTGGTCAATTGAGCCAGTGTTGGTTCTACTACGTTAGCTAACATTAGCTAGGTTGACGTTACACAGATTTTTGGACGAGCCTCCAAATGTTCCTTGATTTTGCAGACTGATTTACAAGCACATATTCATAATGTACTCTAGGGATGATTGTTAAAGTTAATCCGACGATGTTTCTGATTCATACACAAAATATTCACATGCAGAATACAGCTAGCGTTAGTAGCAAAGACGATTTTGTATGCATCATTCATTTGGTCCTGACTGCCTTTTTCCAAATACAGTACACATTGATAAACGGTGTGGAGAGCATTGAAACGTGAACATCAACAACAACATTATGAATATTATGTAGTTATGTGTAAAACTAACTGGGAGGCCATACGGTGCATTCAGAAATCCAGAAAGGTGTGGTGTACTGAAATGGACAGAGCTGCTGCAACGTAAACATGACGTTATAGTTAATGGCTAACGCATGCAGACACACTGGTGTGATCCTTAGCTGCTTTCCACTCAAGACCAAAGTTACTTTTATTTGAAGACGGAGCAGTTTCCTTACACCTGCACTCTTTATCCTTTGCAGAATGGTGACAGACGTGCAGCTGGCTATATTTGCCAACATGCTTGGCGTGTCGTTGTTCCTGCTGGTTGTGTTGTATCACTACGTTGCTGTCAATAATCCCAAGAAACTGGAGTAGAGTCTGCCAATATCATTTGAGAGGTGAGTGCATTTATGTTTGCCTGATATGGTCGACCTTCTTTCGAGTTGACACTTTATCATTGAGCATCAGTACAAGTGTGTAGCTTAAAGTGTTGTTCTCCCCACAGGTTATATGGGACTGCCACCACCATGGAAACAACATCCCCCTCTTCCAGTCCTCTTTCCAAGTGATGAATTTCTTTGTAAGATTGCACACTAGTGTTTTTTGTAATAAAAATGTGTGAAATGCATTCACGATTCAAGAAATGTCATTCTCATTGAATTACTGTATTGCTGAAAGTTTTTTTTTTTTCAAGTTTATTTATTTGTACTTTAAGTTCCAACACAGTTTTATACCAGTCACAGTATAATGCATTTGGTATTACCATATATTGGTATGGTATTGGTCATTGGGATTATGATATGCTTATTACATTTAAAAAGACAACTTTGGCCTTACACAAAATAGTTATATCATATGAATATATATGGTAATAAAAGGATATGTTTCCATATTAGTGTGCTGCGGAGCAAAAGGCTCTAAAGGAATGTGACCGGGAAAGTATGTTCGATGCAGATATAGTGCGTGTATAAAAGTATTAACCCACCCTTTGGACCTTATCGCTACAAGTCAGTCAAAGTAAAAGAATCTCTTAGATGCATGTTTGGCGACAATTTAGGTCCAGGTATATTTATCCTAAAATCACTTGCCACACATGGCTCTTACAGTTTAAATGTCAAAACAGCTGTTAATCACTCACAAACTCCCAACTTGCATCAGTGTAAAACAAGTCCAACAGGATGTGAATACCTTTTATAGACACTATATGCAAAGGACATCTGGAATATTTACATTAAATACACACTTCACTCACACATTTGTGTCCAACTTCACAATGAGGTTGAGGTTATAAAGGTGCTGCCGTGCTCGTCAATCTGTAAAAATCAACCCTTTAATATAGTACAAGTGGTCGTGAAAGTACTTCAGTGCATTAGTGTTGGTCAGAGAGCATTTAACATCTTTTTAAGAGAGGACAGCAGAGGAAAGGACTATAATTACAAAAACTGATATGAGGTACAATGATGGTTAGCTTAAATGTTAACAGATTTCAAGTCTGGATTCTTAATTGGTTGGAAAATTTGTACCTCTCCCTTACCTCAGCCACTGTAGTGGTTTCATTGAGCAAGGCACTTGACCCTCCAACATGCTCTAGTAAAGCTGCTCACTGGTTGTACTGGACAGCCCCTACAGTAAGTCTGACTATGTTGAAAAAGCATTGGTTGTAAACACCAAGCATGCTGTGGAAAATCTGAATAAATAATGTTAAAACATGTTGTATTGCACATCAAGATACCTTAAATAATCCTCATGTGATGACAAATGGCCCCTCCTATTTGCTAGTTTTAACTGCTTTTGATCACAATGTGGTTATTTAGACTCACATACAGCAAACACAGACACATACACAAGTAGCTTCTCTTCTGTGCAGTTCCTAGGCTTCCCCACACAAGGTCACTGTCTCACACATGTTCACAGACTCAGGCAGAGGCATCATTGGAGTTTCCTCAACCTTCAAGTAAATGAAACAGCCAGGTTAAGTTTTAGTAGTTTCATTCATTCATGTTCAGCATTTGTTTCTCTCTCAATGTACATTAATGCTGTTTGAGACACAGTGTGTGTTTTAGTGTGTGTATCACCTGTTGCAAAGTTTCATCCTTCTCTGTTGAGGTTTCTATAATAGTATCTCCTTTGTATTGGAGACTCCTGTCTGTGCTCTTACTGATTAGTGCTTTAGAGGCCAACTGTATGACTCCCTCTTTCCCAGATTCACCTGTAGAGTGAAATAAAGATGATGTTTAACTGTGTATATGTGCAGTCAACATGCTGGAAAGAGGAAATTCAAAAAGCAACACTTGAAAATGATGGAACAAAGGGAAATCTCTTATGTAATGCAGGGACACCTGTATGGGAATAAATGCTGAAGCCAAGATGAGTTGCAAAAGTATGGAATTGGAGAGCAGCAGTTTAGAAAGTGCATAGAATGTCACTGCCAGGTGATTTTGGTAGATTCACTGTCTCAATACAAATACTTGCTGTCATGCCATGTTGTAATAACTTCATCCCTTAAAGTTGCTATGCTAACATGCTGTGACAATGCTACGATGCTAACATTTGTTAATTAGCTCTAAACCCAAAGTACAGCTGAGGCTGTACGAATTATGGGCCATCAACACTGTAGTCATGCACACAAATAAATACAGTCACAAAAATACAAGTTATATGAGTTGTAACAGAAATGAACAGTTTTCATAAAAAAAAAATTATCAACATTTTTTGCCCTGCCTGTATGTCACTTATCCTATTTGACTGATGCATCATTGGTCAGGTAACTATCTCTAGGCGTAATAGAGTTAACAGCACAGGAACACAGTGTATGTGTATGTCTACATGCCTGACAGTGACAGGTGGCGATGGAGGCCAGGTCTAAGCAGCTTCCAGACCTTCATGGTGGCCGACTCGTCCTTATCTCCGGACACGACTGGGTTTTTGCTGGTAGGGGATGTTTTACTGTCATGTGTAGGGGGTGTTTGAGTTGACGCCGCCCGCCGGATGGGGATGCGGCTCATATGAGGTTGCAGCTCACACCTGGGCAGGCAACAGAGAGTTAAATATTTTTGTATTTCATTGATAAATCATAGCAAGGATAAGGCTATAAATGTTCCACTGTGATGATATTTTTTGTAATCATAATTTTATTTATTTTTGTGCCATGTTTTCCATATGGATTTCATTCCAACCCTTGACTTCTTAAAAATGTTCCCTGTGTGATTTAAAAACTACTTAGACACTTAGACAACATTTGACTCACTTGCTAAATTTGATGGAGGAAAGGATGTGTTCAGAACCCAGAGTCTTTAGCAGCCTGGGACAGATGGAGACATTAGTGATACTTCATAAACCAAGTGTATGTTGTAGAATATATATATATTGTAAACTGGTAATACAAGATATGAGGGGCTCTCTGTGAGTGAGCCAGCAAAGGTCAGCTAACCTCTGTGCGAGCCTCTGCAGGGTGATGAGTGATTGAAAGTGTTCTGCACCCTCTCCCCACACGCCCAGGACGCGTGGGGAAATGCATTCTGGGCCAACTCGCTGAACTGGGTCCACCAGCCTGAAAGTCTGGACAGCTGAGGCCTGTTAACCACATAAAGGGACATAAATACAAGGCACAGAAAGAGGAAGCCTACATACACTGCTGGCTAATTGTTAATGTATGTGGCCACAGGAACGCATGTTAGGCCTGTTACAGAGGTGTATCTACAACAGACCCTTCCCTTTATCTGACATACAGTGGTTGGACTAACACTCTCATTTGACTTTCCCTTTTTGACCCATTTGTGACCAACTACATCCTATATGGAAGCTGAAAAATAAAGATTATATACACACACACACACACACACACAATAGAGAGTAGAGGACCCACACACAGTAGTTGCTTCACAAAGGAGTAGTTTTTATTCCAGAGGTTAAACAGAGAGGCGGTAAAAGACAGCAACACATTCAAGAAGGTAATATTCGTAAAGATGTTGCACAGACAAACACTTAACCGTAGTCCGGTATAGAAGGTTAGCACCACATTGAAGGCAACAGCACAGTTCTCATAAGGAATATACAAAGCAGACACATCCAGTGAGAATGTGACTATGCATACAGTGTGTTTCCGCCTAAAGCTTTTTCTTTTGTCATTGTGGATGAAGATATACACACACACACACACATACATATATATATATATATATATATATGTAAGCTTTAGGAGTGAAACAACTGGGAAATAGGACGTTAAAGTTCACAGTGAGAAAGCAGAAAAAAACTACAGTAAACTATTTTTTAGGGCACTGATCTAAGGTGAAAGCTCATAATACATCCTGCCCACTGTGCTGAATGCAGTGGGCAGAGGCTACATGAAAATCATCATCTTAGTGATATTAAAGGAGCATTATGTAAGACTTTTATTTCCCCAGAGCACAAAATCAGCATTACATTTGTAAAGGTTTGACAGACACTGGCATTGTTTGATATTTATTTTTGCTTTTGTGAAAAGGTCAACAAAAGTCCTAAATATGCCCCTTAACTTAATTTCCAAACATTATCTGCAGTTATATATATATATATATATATATATATATATATATATATATATATATTGTTTAACCATACAGTGATTTAGGCCTGTATTCTGAAAAAAAAGTCACTACATTATAAATTGTCCCTACTTAACTATCTTCAATGCCACTTGCGAAGGGAAAGTTTCTCCAAAGCAAGATAAATGACCTTCCAGATCATGATATAATCCAAGAGTTCTCTGGTAAAAAAAAAAAAAAAAAAAGACTGAGCATAGCCTCCAAAGACCTACTGTTTACAACTGACACCAGAGGAAGGCACACCATAACTACAATGTCGCACAGCACTGGAACAGAATGACAGCTACAGCAAATCAAGGCCAGATATTCTGAAATCTATTTTGATCCAATCAATTAATGTTCTGGTTTATCTGCTGTTCATAAAACCTGTCCGGGTCTCACATGCTCTACCTCTGCATCTTCAGTGCATCTATAATGGCTGGTCCTCAAACGTGGACCATCATCAAGTACTTGGATGACAGTACACAAAACTGAATTACAGATGAAATATTATAATTCCACATCTATGGGGCTTACATGTACACCAAGACAACAAGATAATTTCTCATCTCTGCTAACCACAAAATATATTAACTGTGACCACCGACAGCCTACTACATTGCTGCCAAGTTTCATATACACTAGGAAACACACAAATGTGCTTGAATAAATAATAATCAGGTTTTTCATCACCAGTTTGATGACACATGTAATAAAATAAAAAACTCTACAGATTATTTACAACAAAATCAATATTGGAATCTTATTAGAAAATTATAAACACTTACCAACTTTGACTTAGTCAAACTTGTCAAACACAGAACTAAAGTGTTTTTTCATATGATATTGCTAGTTGGCAAACAGCTCCCCTTTTTTCCAAAGAAACTCTTTAAGGTTTCACCATCCGTAAGGATTTAATCCAGTGATGGTCCATGTGAGGTTTCTGGCAGTAGGCTATACTGTGAACATCATAATGTCAAGACCAAGACTGGACTGACACTGGAATGATACAGGTTTCATTTATATTAAAGAAATTAACCATTGACTTACATACAAAAGTATAACCACAGTCATTTTAAACGGGATTTCCACTCACTAGAAATTAAATATGGTCTACACGATGCTCAGCTCTGAACTGACTCCAAATATGACTACACTGGACGGCGTGATCAACCTGTGACTCGCACTGTTTTATATATGAACATTACAGAGCAAAATACAAATACACTGAAAAAAGAAATAAAAGATTAGAAGGTGCTTTAAAGGATTTTACAGAAACAAAAGCAACAATGTGTTCAGTCTCGTTCTACAAAGCTGGTTATGTTTTTCAAAACTAAAATAAAACCAATAAATAATATTCATAATTCATACTGCAGCTGAACAACAGTAACTGTTTGAAAAGAATCTTAAAATTGACAGCCCTGGCTATTTCCCAAATGTCAGCACAGTAACATGGTAATTCTTTTTAGCTTATTACTTGTATACAGACTGAAAAAGAGACATATTCAATGAGGTGTAATCTATTCATGTAATATTTCCAATATGAATGTATATTTGTATATTTTGCAAGTCCTAGGGAACATCGGAGATCATGTAACCAAGCAACTGTCTCGGGTTGCTAAACACATTCAGACACTAAACTGTCGGCTTTGTTCAGTAAAGAACGCCGCCAGAGCACAGCATGATAAGCAATGCTTGATTCAAGGTTAGTAAAAAAATGAAAAACATGTTTCAGCACATTTCAGTCACAATTGAGATCTGATGAACACTTGCACTCTCAAGTGTATTACTCATCCTAAGGTGCTAATACCGTAGATACATTTAATTACACAGATGTGTGCAGAAGGAAAAACAATAATATTTGAGGAACAGTTAGAAGAGCTAGCACCAATGATGTTTCACTCTCTCTCTCTCTCCACACACACACACACACACACACACACACCACACACACACACACACACACACACACACACACATACACACAGACAAATCGTGATAAGCACTTGTTTTGACCTACGTGGAGAGCCAGACAGGTGAAGGTTTCTGTATGACAGTCTCTTGAGACAACCTAAAACTCTGCTTGTCTGGTACTCCAAGCAACTTTAAGAGCTTACACTCACTCAGTTCCACACACACGCACACGCACACGCACACACACACGCACGCACACACAAGCCCAAGCTCTCATAGGTTATGTTAGATTCAGTCCTGGGTGGGCCCTGCTGGAGTGTTGGTGGCCGGCGGTAGGCCCTGAAGGAGCAGGGGGCTCAGTTTCGAGAGCAGCCCAGGGCGGGGGAGAGCCTGCAGGGAGGGGAGCAAGGTGGAGAGGCTGGGGGACTGGAGGGAGTACAGACCTGTCATACTGACGGAGGCCGGGAGGGGACAGGAGCCCGCTGCGCACACTGAGGAAGACGAGGAGGAGGAGGAGGAAGGGGGTGAGAGTGGGGGACGGGAAGGAGTGTGGCTGTTGCTGGGAGACCGTAGGATGGAGCGGTGGTGGGGGGGGCGTCTCTTCTCCTGAGGCTTAGGGTCTACAGAGAGGGAGACACACACGCCTCAGCTCAGAGTCATGCAGGGATTGAACGCACACACTAACATGAAGTGGTGCCTTGGAACAGGACTTTCATCCTCAGTCAGGGTAAAACTAATCTTCAGAGGTGACAAAATGCATGCACAGACAGCAGCAGGTGGGTTCATGCTAAGGTCATGCAGGGGTCATACATGCTGACGTTCAAGGCCACAGACATCCAGGACATGGATCCTCAGGTCTCTAAAATCATGCTAATCCCAAACCTGGGAGCAATTTTACATCACCATTATAGTAAAGCTGAAGCTAAATGTCGCACAGACACCAACACAATGATCAATCACCCATTAGCCTTTCTTAACAATTCAGCAGAAAGAGAGGATGGAGCAAGAAAGAGAAGCGACAGAATATGTGATATTTAGAGAGAGAAAGAAAAGAGCGGAGGTACACCCAGAGAGAGACAATAGAGAATTCCAGCCAGCAACACAAACAGATGGTTGAGAGATCAACTTACCCCTGACTGGCCCAAGTGTCTTGTTGCCTCCACGTCCGCTGGCGTGCGTGCTGTTGTGCTGTGTGTGAGTTCGGGGTGGGGGACAGCCAAAAGTAAAGCTCGGCGAGCTGTGCATCTTCGGGGAGGGTGTCTGGCTGCTGCTGCTGTGGCTGTTGCAACGAACACGACTCAGGGTGTTCTCTGACGCTGAGCCCGACAGACAGCTGCTCAAAAAATGAAGACAAACAAAGATGACGATGATCCAAGGGTTATATGTGACAAAGACGCTAAGGGAACACAAGTTTGTCGTTGTTTTTGGCTTTAATGAGTAGATGTGTGTGTAAACTCACTTGTTGAAGCTCTTTGGCGGGGACGCCTTGCTGCCATTGTGGTGTATTCTTAGCGGAGGATGAGAGTGGATATTTGCGTTCAGGCCTTTGGTGTTGCGGACGTGCTTGAGGATCCAAGCTCGAAGGTTTGTCAGACAACTGTGCTCAGAGAGCACCAGCCGTGGCCAGGGGTTACACTCTGCCATATCCAGGGCTGAGATAGCCACAGCACGCCCCACCTGATGCAACATCAGTTATTTTACTTCAAAAGTGCCTTATCTTTTGAGTTAAATTTAGTTAGTTTTAACACTAACACAAACAACAAACACAGACATGGATTTTTTTATTCATGGACCCAAAAAACCTGCAATCCTTAAACAAAGAATCACATTGCTGTCCGAGTGAGAATACTTGTGCAGAAAGCACTCTGGTTTTCTTACCTGCTCAAATATTTCTGGAGTGTATTTTGGAGGGAATGATGGAGGTGGAGGTGGGGTTGCCCGTCCGTTGTCATGGCAAGCAGGAGGGATGGTGTTCATAGTTTTTCCTGTGTTATAGTTGCACTCTAAAGTGTAGCTGATGGGGACACAAAAAGAAATGTTAAAAATACACATTTACAGCTTGAAAAACTTGAGTTGACACAAAATCATTTTAAACAACTAAACTAAAACTTTTTATTTTATTAATCCAGAAAAGCTCACTTTTCACTCTCCTAAACAAAACAAAAAAACACTCAAAATAGATTTCCTTTGTGTTATTTGAACTGACTACACTGAACATCAACTGTTCTGACCTGTGAAGCAGCCCGATGGCCTTGTGAATGGCCACCCGCCCGCTGCCTTCTTTAGACTGGCCATCCCTCTTGTCTCGGGCATACATGTTTTTCTCGGAGAAGTTACAACCCAGGAAATCAAAGTGGGCAGAGTTCACAGCGATCAGCCTCGGATACAGCATGTTCTCTACCTACAGGTGGAGGAAGCAGATTACATAGGAGCTTAGCTGTATGTAACAGTAAATCAGTCAATTTGTAAGTATATAGTAATTGCTATATGGGGATAAACAAATATGTTAAGGACACAATTCATGAATCATTTTCACCTGCTGGCTCTCATCAGGTAGGTTATTTCCGTACATGAAGCATCCACGCTTAGAGGCGTGGCCGTGCAAGTCCACATAATAAGCTACACCTCCCTCCTGGGGTGGAATTAATTCCTGTTCCTCCTCCTGTGGTACGGTTACCTCTACAGTAACAGGAGCTACAGTCTCTGGGGAACTCGATGAGCTTTTCTGGTCCCCCTTCCCCATCTCTGTGGTTGCCCAGACGTTTTCCTCCGTCACCATGGGAACTTCTGGCAGGGCGGGATTTGTATCCTTCTCTGCATTTCGTTGGTTCAAGCTGACTTCAAGGGCGGTGAAGGGGGGAGACTGGTGTTGATTGGTGGGTTTGGTGTTAAGCGGAGTGGTCTGTGTGTGTGTGGAGCTGTTACAGTGAGTGCTGGACTGTGGATTGTGCAGGCGGTTGTGTGTGTGGTGGTAGAGCAACAGTGTTTTGGCTGCATAGATAGAAGGGTGCAGCTCAGGGCTGGGGTTCAGGTATTGTCTGTTCAAGTTCACACCCCTGGAATCAGTCCTGCAAATTGACAAAAAAAACAAGCTGTTCCATACATTTCTGCATTGTAACAGGGCTTGGATTTCAATGTCACATTGTGCTGCATGTAGTATCATTTACCCCACAGTTACTACATGACGTTGTGTTCCTAGATAAGAAGAAGATACAGATCAGCACAAGCTGCAGCCTACCCTGACACACTGACAAAGTCACTGTTTACTGATACCCCTAATACATCATTGTCTGAGATGTAGGTTAAACTTGTGACGCAGGCTGAAAGAGTCAACACGTGACATCCGACCTGGCTCTTCTAACCTCTGCCTGACCAGCAGTGTGCTTACATGCACTTTAGTAACTGGGTCACAGTTGGCTTTCTGTAGTTTCTTAAATGTCATGTATACGAGAACACAAGTTGCCATAATTGGAGTAGGGGCTTGGAGAAACATGATTCCTCCAGCTAGATTTCTACTTATAACACATACGTTGATTGACCACTGTTTGTTTGGAATTAACTCTGTACACTGTTCGCTGCATTCGGCTGTTTTGCATCTAACTGTATTGCAATTCTTTGACTGACCCTTGCTAACCACTTTTGCTATGGTTATAATTACTTTATCTAGCTAGCTCAAGGTTTCCACTGGTAACATTTATCCAAATCCGTAAGTAGTGTTTCTCCTAACTTGCTGGAAGACGCCATAGTAACACTGCACAAACAGGGACTTTTCTTTTCTCTTCTATGACAGTGAACACGATACACAGCCTTTCAGTAACTAGCCACGTTATAGCTGACCAAGGTAATTTAATTACCCCTTGCAGTTCTTACCTGTAGTGCCCACGAATAACCCCATCTGGGTTGAGCATGGGAATGAGCTTGAACACAAACATGTTTCGAAGCGCATGAGCACGAGGGTCATCTCTTCTTAGAATGAAGTTGAGGAAACCGTTAAAGACGAAGGATGACGGAGTCTCCCCGGGGTGCACTCGACTGCTGAGGAAAAACACCTGCAAACATACACAGACACACGAGAGCCAAGAGTCAGTTTCACTGTTTCATTGATTCCACATCAGCCACATCCTTAAGTGTTGTCACTAAAAGCCATTAAAGGCATCACATTTGTGATTGCCGACCTGCCAACCTTGGGGAAATACCAATACCAGTACCACAATACTTTAACACTTAGTTCACATGCTTTCACACCAGTTCGCTTTGTACATGCAAAATTTCCCCACTCCCCGCCATATCATCAAGTTAATTTAACATATACTGTAAATCGACTTTAAAAGAAAACAATTATTTCCATTTTATGCTACTTTGTATTCATACTTAACAAACATTTTAGAGGGAAAATTCAAGGCTTACGTTTAAAAAAAATTACAATTACAGCTAATTTCAAATTAGCTATGTAACGTTACGCTAACTTGATTGACGTTAATTAATTACTATCTTTAACTTTCCACATGACCCCAGTCTGATGTTCACATTAAATTTAATACTGCTTGAGCATAATTTAACTTAACAAATTGTACAGGCGTACTTGGATATCAAAATGTGTACCTGCTACGCAAAAAGCGTACAGGTGGGCAGGTCTTGTTTGTGTGTTTATGTGTATTTTAGTGATACCCTTTTGCCAGGGAAGCGGTGTGCTCTTGGAGTGTTGGTGTCGGGAAACAGCTTAGGCAGACGTGGTTCTCTCTCTTCTTGCATCCCGCTGCAGTTGGTCACAGTGAGCAGGTCCACCCTGTTGCCGTCTAGAGAGTTGCACAGCAACTCCCTATGGTAATACACACTGCTTGGTGCACTGACAGTGACAGCAGTCAAGGACAGAGATGGATGGAAGAGAAGGTCAGACATTGTACAAATTAGAGGGACAAAGAAGAAAATTAAGGTAATTTCACTAACAAAAATGTTTAAAACAACGTGTTTGTGTGTTGTGTTTTACCTGCTTGGACTTAGTTGAGCAACATTGGGGTAGCTCTTGTCAAACTGCTCCAGCATCTCCTGGCACTCACTGTAAGGGAACGGGTAGCAGAAGGAGAAGTAGGTGGTCGCCCCTCGCACCTCCAACAGCCGGTGTGTGAATGAGAGGATGAACTGGTTATCCACAATCTGGAAAAGTGACAGAAGAAAGGAAGAAGAGACATATTATTAGAAAGATAATAATAGCTGTCAGGAAGCAAGGCTGTCAGTATGCCCACATCCTGTCGCTGGCATCCTCAAAGTACATGTATGTACCTCAGATGAGGGTCTGTCCCGGACCCTTTCCCATCGGTTCTTGCCAGGTAAAGTGCGTACGAGAGGAGCCATGCCCTGGCTGTAGAGCTTCCTCTGGTTGTTCATGTTCATCACATTGATCTTCACTATTTTCCCAGGTGCTGCACCCCGCACACTGAAGTAAAACCATGACCTGAAACACAAAAACATGATTTATAATGCAAGTATTATAACTCAGTGTGAGGGTTGTGTGCAACTAGTAAACACATCTATCTACAAAGAAGCATTGCTCATGCATTTCTCTGTCCTCACTTGTGAAAAATCAGACATTTTGTTACCTGTTTCCATTCTCATGTTCTGTGCCACCGCAGTCTGGTTGTGTCCACACATTGAACTCATAGTCAGGGGTCAGGTTTGACCCTAGGAGGCCACTCCCACTGGGAGCTGTATCGGTAGGAGGGCTGGAGCTGCCCTTCTCCACTTTCTCCACACGTGCCAGGTTCCCTGAGTCAAACTTGGAGCTGAACACAATATTACCAAATCGAGCCTCCATGGTTCTGAACTGTGGCCTCTCACTTTTCTCCCCTCAGGTTCTTTGTGAAGTGCCAGTGAGAGGTCTGACATAGACAACCTGTTATGAAATCAGACAAACACAATTTACATTTACACTAAGATAAAATATAAAGGAAGAAGATGGTTGGTTGTTCTGGTGAAACAGCAAATGAAATAAACTAAACTGGGAGTGATAGGTGGGTCTTACAAGGTGTCCAAATGTGTCATCATTCATTTAGGCACTGTCATTTCTTGTGACACCCAAACAGCGTGCACATTACTGGACGGCACCAAGAGGATAACATATGACTGTTCATATAGTAAATATCTTAAAATGGACTGTGAACTGTAAAAACTCAAATTGCATGTCTATTCTAGTTGTTGAGTCACCATAATGCCAGTTCTAGAAGTTTAAAATTGTATTTAGTGATATCTTGAATTTAGTTGCAAATTACTTGCTTTAGATAAATAAAACAATTCTTAACACCAGTTAGGAAATTAAATATTTCTTTGATTTAAAGTATGACTTCAAACAATGAAGGTATTTCAAAACTGATTGCAGATCTCTTTAATTGGAGGCTGCATAAATTCAGACAACTAAGGGCCAAAGTCACCTCAGCCTTATTAGTCATGATGCGCTTAGATAGACACAAGTCAACAGATAACAGCGACAACCTGAGGCCGTTGAAGAAAGCACACGATGGCTAAACTATAATCAATATTTTCTAGTTACAGCCCAGTGTTGGCTAGATACATTCCTGAATTGACTGTACCAATGGCGCAGATAAATAGTTTAACGGTTGCCTGCTTATCAGCACAACCCGACTGCAGATAAAACAATGGCTGCTGTTTGATGTTAGTAACAGAGCAATAACAACAACAGCTGACCGAGAGATAGCGCATAGTAAGGGAGAGTGAAATAACGGCTGCATGCCTTATCGTCTATTCAGAGGACCTTTCGTTTAACACTATTTTAATAAGCAGAGGCTAGCTAGTATTTACAACTATGCTATGTCTCCTGGTCAGTGGCATATCGTTAATGTTACACACAGCTAATAACGCTAGCATACGTTTCTAAGCTACTGATGCTAACTTAGCTAACACACTAGCAGTCGGTGCTCGAAACGACAGTCTTTTTTAGCGAATACACGGTTATTCGTCGTCACATTGTCAATACATTTTAGCTGCTACAATGCTTTTAGGCGAGACAATGGATTTTCACTCTTACTATGTTATTTTCGATCGATTTCCATTTTTGTTTTCATCGTCCTTCTCAACCCCTCAATTCATTAGTCTGGATGCTGCGTTCAGGTGTCTCTGTAGAAATGAAGGCTGCCTGGAAATTTCGTTGCCTGTGACCGTTTACAGCAACAAGTGGCAGGATGTTTGTTCTCCTCCACGGAATCCGATCTGGCTAGAGTCTTAGTGTAAAAACAAGCTTTCACCGATATTAAAATTAAAAGATAATACGAACAAACATCAGTTACATCCATACACACAATGTATGGTGGCCCTGCTGTGCAAAATTCACCTATCTTACACAAAACAAATGAACAAGAGCAAAAGCAACACCACACTGTAAAATTATAATAAAAAATAATAATAGAAATATATATATTTTTTCAATCTTCATATCACACATATTTTGAGATTGAATGGGGAGAATCACAGCAATAATCAACTATCACAGAAATGTCTATTTGTTTTAATAATAATACCATACATTTTAGTGGTTTGGGGAAGACTAAATCAAAATGATATGTCCAAAGTTCATTATATTAATTAATTTATTTATCATTTAATAATTATTTTATTTATTTTCTTCACCGACATGAATGAAACGCTGAGATATAGGCTTACTGTATATATTTTTTTAAAACGTGTTCATACCCTAACCCTAACCCCCCCCAAGCTCTGGTGAATCAGTAAACAGGGGTTGTTCCAGGGATTTAAAATTAGGGTCTTTGGCCACTTTTGCTTCTCTACTATCAGTAGGAGCTTAATAATCTCATAGAAAAACCACATATCTTTTTTGGACTTGTGTTTCAGTTCACAGAGTCAGTACTGTTTCACTGGGTAACTTCTATAGGCTAAAGGGAAGACCCTCAAAAGCGCTTTAGTGTTTGAGATACCCCTACCAGAGGTAGAACAAAGAAAAGCAATGTTTTTCATATTCTAAAAGGTCTCCCGTATATGAAATGGATTCTTGTATAAACATATTTTGCTACAAAATTGGCATCTTGAATGGTGAGTACACAAAGCAAACAAGAAGCCAAGTTTAAGTAAACCCAGAACAAAAGTAAACATTTTTGTAGACAATCATATTTTCGGGTGAGAATACTTGTTATTCATGGCTGTGGTTCTGTTTGAAGGAGAAAACAGTTTTAATATTTTATTTCCACCTACTGTAGTGCTCTCCTCTTTTTGAAAATTGTGTTTTGCTCTTATCGTCAGGGTTGGCCTGGTGGAATCCAAAATCAGACTGGTGGGAGCTCTGGAGAGAAATGTGCACATTTCCCTGGCCCACGTGAATCAACAGTCCTTCACTGCACCCACGAAGGGCAATAACGGGTAAAGACACGTGATGTTATGGTTATATTTGAATTGTGGAAGGAAGTGAATATTGTTCATTTTTAATACATTACTCTTTTCTATTCACTCATTACTATGTTTTCCTCGTATGCTATATATTTAGTATATTATATTTCAGTTTCTAGTTAAAATTATTAAAAACTTTACTGTAGAACTGTAAAACTGTTTTAGAAGGGGAATGGGTACAACATGGCTGATTGGTCTTCGCTTTAATATGGAGCAGTGTAAAAACATCAAGATAGACCTCAGTGACACTATGTACATGTTTCAGTTTCTCAGGTACAGCACAGCCTTAAGAATAGAGACTTCTGAGTTTCCTCTAGCTGCACACACTTATCCTCTTTCCTACACTGACATGTCCAACATATGACAGACATCCTCACACACAATGTTCATGCTGAGCTTCATGGAAGGCCTATTGTAAGTAGATAAGAGCTGGATGAATGCTATATCTTTTCACCACAAGAGGGCAATGAAGCCTTTCTGCTCTCCTCTTCCTCAGCAGTAGCGAGGGAATGGATACACAGACACACTGGTCAAAGACTAGTCATTTGGTGACAGCTAAACCTGATGCAGACCTAAGCATCTTTATGTGTAGTAATCATTTTATTAATGCTTGAGTCTTTTTACCTCAATGTGTTGATTTTTACCTCAATGTGTTGATTTAAACTCTGTCACCAGCTTTTCTGTTTATTTTCCGTATTTTTCTGCTTGCTTAAGTGAAGGGGTGATACATGCTACACCGTGGACTTCTTGAACATCTTACAGCCATGTTCATCTGTGTATCCCTTACAACAGGTGAAACTGACAGAGGACCGCTGATTGGTTGATGAGCCTGAGGATCTGATTTGAGGTCAGCTGGGATTTTACACAATGTAGACTCCTTTCTATTTACCGACAATGAAATAGCATACGGACAGTAATCTAATAATTTTCAGCTTTACAGCAAAAACAACATTGTCTGGTTTAAAGACCATGTGGCTCATCTGACACGCATAAAAATAAGTTCAGTGAATGATAAGTTTGACATTAGTCAAGACATGCACTGTGTAAGCACAACTAAGGAACACAAGTTAACGAAACAGTTTTACTTTGTACTTAATTGTAGCTAAAGGTAAGGAATCATTCACTTTTGTTGAGTCATAAAGACTGGCTTAGTATACATAGCATATATAACATATGTCTAGTAGCAAAATGCAATAAAAAAAATATTTTTTAAAAAGTTTATAATGTGAAAATACCACTCAAAATTAAAAAAATTACTTAAATGTTAAATATTAAGGTATCTTTTGCGAACTCTTGTGGACTACAAAAACCAAATTGATTGCTGCAGAGATTTTTGGACTTTATTGTTCAACAGTGCAAAGGTTTATAGAACAATTACAAGTAACACAGAAAGCTAAGTCTTTAAAAGCAGTCTTTTAAAGGGGTCGAAGGATCCTTAATCTGTTAAGGCAGAAACTATTGGAACTTTCCTTTCTAAAAACATCTTCGTCACCTCTTCTTCATCTTTAGAACACCCTAATTTCACTGAAGATGCTCCCCTTGGCAACAAGTGGATTGTAGATTGTGGCCCCATCAAACACAAGGCTGAATGTTTCACTTTGGAATGTGAACTCCCAAGGAGGTGATGGTCTGATAAAGAAAAGTCACATTACATAAAGCTGAGTGAGAAACTTTGCTGCAGTAGAAATAGTGACATGAGATAACCCAAAGCAACAACCTCACCTGAAATAGAAAATATCAGGGATAAAGTTTGGGAAAAACAAAACTACCTGAGGCGGCAACTTGCTGTCTGCCAGAATCGCATGGTGGTGATGGACTGGCAAAAGATTGTTGGTGGAGGTTTGTGTTACAGTCTGGCAGACTTCAGAATCTTCAAGTGAAGGCAGAAGTGCAGGTTTTTGGCAGAAGCTGTGGGTGGAGGATAATGCTGCATGTCAACCCAAATCTGGAGTTAGAAACAGCAATGAAAGTTGATGGCAAAAGCTGTAGGAGGATGTTCGGATGGCATCTATCTGGCAGATTATTCAGGTGGAAGTGCAGATTGGCAGCAAAAGCTGTAGGTGGAGTTTAGCCTGAAGCTGTCTGTCAGAACCTGAAGGTGGATGCAGCATTGCAGATTGCTGGCATAGGCAGTAGGTGGAGGTTCAGGCTGTGAATGTATGGCAGGGGAAGTAAGGAGAAGTTACTGCCCTGCCATACATCTACAGCCTGAACCTCCACCTACTAGTGTAAGGTTGTTGCTGTCTATCACAATCTGCAGGTGGAGGCGTCCGGCAGGTTGTTGGCAGAGGTTTTGGATGTAGTTTTGGGCTGCAGCTGTCTGTCACGATCTGCAGGTGGAGGCGTCCTGCAGGTTGTTGGCAGAGGCTGTAGTTGTAGCTTTGGGTTGTAGCTGTCTGTGGGGGTTGTATGCATATTCTTGACAGAGGCTTGAGACTTATGGTTGGGTTGCAGGTGTCTACCAAAACCTGCAGGTGGAGGCGTCCTGCAGGTTGTTGGCAGAGGCTGTTGTAGCTTTGGACTGTAGCTGTCTGCCACAATCTGCAGGTGGAGGTGTCCTGCAGGTAGCTGTCGGCCACAGTCTGCAGGTGGAGGCGTCCTGCAGGTTGTTGGCAGAGGCTGTAGTTGTAGATTTGGACTGTAGCTGTCAGCCAATATATCTGCAGGTGGAGGCATCCTGCAGATGTTGGCAGAGGCTGTCGTAGGTTTGGACTGTAGCTGTCGGCCAAAATCTGCAGGTGGAGGCGTACTGCAGGTTGTTGGCAGAGGCTGTCGTTGTAGGTTTGGACTGTAGCGGTCGGCCAAAATCGGCAGGTGGAGGCATCCTGCAGGTTGTTGACAGAGGCTTTAATTGTAGCTTTGGACTGTAGCTGTCTGCCACAATCTGCAGGTGGAGGCATCCTGCAGGTTGTTGGCAGAGGCTGTAGATGTAGTGTTAGGCTGTTGCTGTCTGCCACAATCTGCAAGTGGTCGTGTCCTGCAGGTTGTTGGCAGAGGCTTTAGTTATAGCTTTGGACTGTAGCTGTCGGCCAAAATCTGCAGGTGGAGGCATCCTGCAGGTTGTTGGCAGAGGCTGTAGTTGTAGCTTTGGACTGTAGCTGTCTGCCACAATCTGCAGGTGGAGGCTTCCTGCAGGTTGTTGGCAGAGGCTTTAGTTGTAGCTTTGGACTGTAGCTGTCGGCCAAAATCTGCAGGTGGAGATATCCTGCAGGTTGTTGGCAGAGGCTGTAGTTGTAGGTTTAGATTGTAGCTGTCGGCCAATATATCTGCAGGTAGAGGCATCCTGCAGATGTTGGCAGAGGCTGTCGTTGTAGGTTTGGACTGTAGCTGTCGGCCAAAATCTGCAGGTGGAGGCGTCCTGCAGGTTGTTGGCAAAAGTTGTAGATGTAGTGTAAGGTTGTTGCTGTCTGCCACAGTCTGCAGGTGGAGGCGTCCTGCAGGTTGTTGGCAGAGGCTGTTGTAGCTTTGGACTGTAGCTGTCTGCCACAATCTGCAGGTGGAGGCATCCTGCAGGTTGTTGACACAGGCTGTAGTTGTAGCTTTGGACTGTAGCTGTCTGCCACAATCTGCAGGTGGAGGCATCCTGCAGGTTGTTGGCAGAGGCTGTAGATGTAGAGTAAAGCTGTTGCTGTCTGCCACAATCTGCAGGTGGAGGTGTCCTGCAGGTTGTTGGCAGAGGCTGTTGTAGCTTTGGACTGTAGCTGTCTGCCACAATCTGCAGGTGGAGGCATCCTGCAGGTTGTTGTCACAGGCTGTAGTTGTAGCTTTGGACTGTAGCTGTCTGCCA